AATAGATAAAATTTCTTTTTCGTGCAAATCCATAAAAAGTTTGATATTAAAATTATATTATACGATTATATTATAAAATTATATTATAATATTCTTCCGAATTTAAAAATAAATAAATGTCCATAACTTTCAAAATTAAAAATAATTAAACAAATAACAACAATTTTGCAAAAACATTAGAGAACATAAGAACATTATTCAATAAAATTTACGTTCGATTTCCTAGAAATGTACTTTTAAATCGTTACTTTTTTTGTTTAGTACTTGTACTTTTTACTCGTTACTTTTTAAAATAAGAACTTTTTACCTTTTACTCGTTACTTTTTAAAAGTAACGTTGCCCTACATGGTTGGATATAAACCTATTACAGGTTACAAAAAATCATTACTGGTAATAAAAATAAAACTTTTGTGATCTTTCCACGCAACCTTCCAATCAATGCCATTTGGGAACCGCTGTTAAAGGTTTTAAAATTAATTTTAATAAATATGTTTAAAATTTAAAATTATAAAACAATTTTTAATATTTTTCGGTATTATTCAAATCTATGATTGTGTTGCCGTTACTGGGCGTGAGCAGCATAATTCTACAAAACATAATTCTTATGCTAAAAAACAATTGTGCGTTTTCCTACATAATTATATGAAATACAATTTAAAATGAAAAGCTTTCTTTTCACAAATACGTGTATTGCATCAAACATAAAAAGTAGAATTGTGTATGCATTTTAATGATCTCAAGTTAAAACACTACTGAATACCAAAACTTCAGATAAAAATGCATGGATTCATTTTAGTTTCAATGCTTTTAGCTATTCAAAACTAAAAATGATTTCTTTCTCCGAACAGCAGATAATTATGTTTGAAATTCGAAGGGGAAAAAATTTGCATTCAGAAATGGAATTCAGAAATAACTTGTTTCTTGTAAAGATTTTTCTTCTTTTTTATCCGTATTTTAAAGGAATCTTTTACGTTCATTTTAATTTAACAGCTGCCCAAATTTATTTTAACGGCAACAAAAAAAAATTTTAATAAATTCTTTGGATTTTAGTATATATATTTTTTATTTTACTTAAAAGAGACAACTTTTTTTTTATCTTTACAATGTCGATATTTATTTTTTATTTCGTATATGCATTTTATTCAAGCATGATTTTTTTTTTAAATTTAAATGAAATAAACTTTTTTAAAAAAAAATTATTTGCCATTTTAATTTAAAACTGCTGAAAGGAAGATAATAAAAAAGATTGCTTCGATAACAGTCTAAATTTTACATTATTGTTGTGAATATTTTACATTCTATATTTTAAACTACCATTATGATGCCTAAATATAAAAAATAAGTAAAAGCCTTAATTAAATTTAACTTAATGCATGAGAAGAAAAAGACGCATGGTGACTTAATTAATTTTGTCCATTGTGAGTTTCTTATGTACCAATTGTGCTTTTTGATTATAGTTGTAGTAAAATATTTTGATACAAAATGTATCATTTCTTTTAAAAACTTATAACGCCAAAAAATCAAATGCGAACATAAATCGTTTAACAAAAAGGGAAGTATCATAACAAAAATTTCGTTGAATAGCAATTTTTATTATTTTGTAAATGAAAATAATGAATTAAAATAAAACTTTTGGAGAAGATTAATTTAGGAGGAAAAAACTTTATTTTTGTCAGACCTAAAATAAAAAACGTAAGCCGTGTCATATTTCAAAGAAATGACGGGAATTTTCGAAGGCGGAAAGAAGTTATTAGAAAAGTTATTTTTCTCCTTTTTATCTACTTAAAAAAAAGTATTTATTAATACTTTTTATTTTGTCTTATACTTCTCTTCTTTTTAGTTTTGAGTCTTTTAGTTAATGTCAGAAAGTGGTTGTAATTTTGATTGACTTTAAATTTTGCTCGCTGCCTTTAGGAAACTATTAGACATCTATTATCATCTTGTAAAATTTTTTTTATACAAAAAAAAACAAAAAAACAAAAGAAACTAGCTAGTCAAAATATGGTAAAATTTGGAATAACACTAGATTCTATTTGGCGATAATACGGCGGAAAATTCTGCTTTCAGCTGTCAGGAAAAATTGAAACTTCTGAAGCAATTTTCCAATCCATCATCGTTTCAAGACCAGTTCTCTTATTTGGCGATTTTGGCTGTAGTTTAATCGCTTTTCTGGTAAACGACTCGTCAGGAGTAGCCTTGATAAGAATTTCTAAATAGCAACCTGCGTGCTTCCTCTTCGTGATTTCAATCATTTATTTTGGAATAGTCAATTGTCTGTCAATAACTTTTTAAATAAAGTAATTTTCGGATTATAAAGCTATAAAAATTAAATGACACATATCTAATATTAAACATACTTTTTTATAAGTAAACGTTTAATGACAAGTAATCCATGGAATAAAAAATTTAACAACTTAATATTTGTTTCGTTTATTTTACATCAAACTAATGATCAGTATTTTATTGTTAATAAATATACAGAATTCAAACGATTAATTTTTTGTAAGAAATGTTTTTTTTAAGTTTTAATCATTCTGAATAATAATACATCAAAATATTTTTATTTATATTTAATGCATTTCTTATTTTAAATGTAGCAGTTAATAAATTAGGATGCATGTAAATATAGAAGGATTAATCGTGAAGCAATAATGAGTCGCCTTTTTTATGCTTATTTTTCCCTAGGTTTTAATCTTGTTTTTTTTTTTAACAAAATTAGAATCAAAAATAAAGTATATAATTGCAATTAAAATGCATAAATTTAGTTTAATATTGTTTTACTGTAACATATTAAAGTCGCAATGATGGCTTAATCGAGAAACTATCCACTAAGTAACATTTCTAAATAATAAAAAAAAAAATTAATTTTTTAATAAGTATGATAAGATAAGTTTCTGATAAATAAGACAATGATAATGGCAAGCTATTTAAAAAAACAAATGTAAAAGCTAGTAAAAAATAGTAGGTGTACAAAAAAAATTCTGAGAACTTGAAGGTTTAACAAACATGAAAAAATGCGCCAATTATTCATAAATCGTGTCTAATATAGTTATATCATTTCCACCACTGTGCTACAAATAGTGATTTGAGTAAAAAATATATTTAAATTTATTAATCTATATATATAAAAGTGAATGTGTGTCTGTTTGTCCTCTATAGACTCCTAAACCAACCGACAGAAAGCTATGAAACTTGGCATACAGATTGTTCAAAGCACGAGGAAGGTTTCTGTCGATATTAGAACATTCTGCGAAAAGCCGTTCCAGCGANCCCTATCAATGGAGACTAATATTACAGCTATTGTTAATCGATCAAGGGTGGCTAACATAACAACTGTACATAAATTCATAAATCTATCAATGGAGGCTAATGTAACAACTATATGTTAACCTATCAATGGAGATTAATATTACAACTATATGTTGACCTATCAAGAGAAACTAATATAACAACTACACGCTGACCTATTAAGGGAAACTAATGTATCGAAGGATGGAAATTTACTACTATTTGGTGATTTATCAATGAAGACTAATATTACAACTATATGTTGACTTATCAATGGAGACTAATATTACAACTATTGTTAATCGATCAAGGATGGCTAACATATCAACCATACACAAATCTATCAATGAAGGCTAATGTAACAACTATATGATAATTTATCAATGTAGGCTAATACTACAACTACATGTTGACCTATCAAGGGAGGCTAATATAGCAACTATATGTTGACGTATCAAGAAGAGCTAATATCATATAAGTAATATCAAGATGGCTAATATTATTAATACTGTATGCTGACGTGTCAATGGGACTAATATTGCAACTATATGTTGACTGATCAAGTGATTATGATCTTACTACCATATGTTTAGCTTTCAAGGGAGGCTAATATTACAACTCCATTTTGAGTTATTAAGGATAGATAATATTGCAACAACATGTTGATCTATTAAGTGGGATAACAATTCATTTATATGTTAAACTATTGAAGGGTCAACATTTAGATTTTCCGATTCTCTTACTGTATGGCACTTAATCGAAAAAAGGTTATTTATTTGAGATTTTTGAAGAATGAATGTCTCTGTAGATTTCACCCTGATTTACTCTCTTTAGCATGTTCTTCTACTCTTGTTAAATGGATATTTTTTACATCTGTAGTAAATATTAAAAAAAAAATTAAATCTATTAAGTGGGCTGACAATTAATTTATGTGTTAAACTATTGAAGGGTCAACATTTAAATTTTCCGATTCTCTTACTGTATGGCACTTAATCGAAAAAAGGTTATTTATTTGAGATTTTTGAAGAATGAATGTCTCTGTAGATTTCACCCTGATTTACTCTCTTTAGCATGTTCTTCTACTCTTGTTAAATGGATATTTTTCGCATCTGTAGTAAATATTAAAAAAAAATTCTTATTATTTTAAAGTGCATTTTATTCTTTGCTAACTTCACACTAAGTAAAAGATTACCACACACTAAACAAGCTAATTTTATGAAGCGAACCTGTTTCGCAAGCTACTAATTTCAACAACTGGCGTGAGCGAATAAATTTTTTATCTCAACACGAAATATATTTCTGCAGAAAAACTATTTTTTAAAAATAAATTTAAAAGTTTTGGATTTTTTTAATTGCTTAAACTGAGCCATGGTGGCTCAGGGGATAGAGTGTTAGCCGTCCAATAAGGTGAACCGAGTTCGAATCCCAGCGATAGCTGGTCGATACAAATCCACATCCGGCTTTCACAGACCACAATACTGACGTGAAATATGCTCTGTGGTAGACGGATCATAGCTTAGAGTCCGTTTGCAGTTAGGCTTACTATGTGAGGTTCTCGAATTCTTCCTCTCCATGTAACGCAAGTGAAGGTAAGTTCTACGAAAAAGTCCTCCACGAAGGCAAATTTCTCCCTATACTTGATCCGAGAGTTCCCTTGTCTTCCGGATTGGGTTCAGAATTACAAGGCTACGGAATTGGGTGGGCCGTTCAACGACGGTTAAAAAAATAGAAAAAATAATAATATGTAAAATAAAATAAAATGGCATAAAATGGAGCCGTGGTAACTCAGGGACACTGGTCGGTGGTAGCATTTTTTCTTAGTTTGTAGTGTAGTATGCTACTTTTTCAAAAAAGTATTGTAGCGATAAAAAAAAAACAGTAGATGTAGCAATACATGTCAACCTACTTTTAACGTTAATTAAGAAAAGAAACATTGTTCAAACGCAGGGTTTCTTAACCTGTGGTTCATGAACCCCTAAGGGGTCCATGAGTTGTATTTTGGGGGTCCGCTGACTACTCCTAATTCTTAAAACGTTTGGAAGCCTACCCATTGCTTGTAAAGCGAGCTATGGCAGCTATAATTCCGTTTGTTACAGTGTATATATTTTCGAAGCGGGATTTTCCACAATTGTGACAATAAAAACATAACTTCCAAATCGATTGAATGTTGAATATGCTATGCATGTTGCTTTGTCGAAAACCATCCCCCAATTCAATTTATTAATTAAGGAAAAGCAGCAGCAACCTTCACATTAAAAATTTTAATTTTTAAAATTTTGTATACTATTAAAATAATAAAATTAAATGTTTTCTAATAATTGATGTTTTTTACAATTATTTTTTTCACAGGGGGGTGGTCCGTGACTTCTTAAAAAATTTTAAAGGAGGTCCATTATATCAAAAAGGTTAAGAAACACTGTTCTAAGGCAACAAATTTTTCGAATTTGATGGGTACAAATTCAGGGCCCGACTTAGCCTAATTGGGGCCAAGGTCAAAAATTTCTTTAGGGGCCCCCTTCTGCTTCCCTACTTCAGTGATGAAGAACCGGACTTTATGAAGGTATTTAAATTTTTCACCTCATTATACATAAATAACAAGAAAATTGACGAGAACCTAAAAAAGCTATAAACCCCCCCCCCCNAATACAAAATTAAAATTCAAACTGAAAGCGTTGCAACGCACGCAGGGTACAGCTAGTTTATAATAAGCTTTTAATAATATATTTGAAATATAATTTAACATGTATATTTCAATGTGGTATTTAATTTATTGAACTTTTCGTAAATTCTGATTTAGCAACGTTACAATTTTTTTTCATTTATTTATTAGTTGCTTTTATTTAATTATATTCTATTACTATTTAATTATTTGAGTCATGTGATTCTTTGTTTGACATATAGGCTTCAATATTATCCCTTAGATATCTTTTTCTTTTTAATGTTTCTTTATATTCTTTTGTGGGTGGCCCACCTGGAAAATAGAAAGAAAGGGACAGGCTTTGCATTTTTAACTTCCTTTAGTAGAATTTTTATTGCTTTAGACTTTTTTTTTATATTTAAATTAATCAACTAGTAATTTAATTAGATATTTTTCAAAATAATTGTTCAAAATTGATGATTATAGTACTAAATTAAAAATTTCGCGCATAAAATCAAATTTTGAGAGAAAAATTTTTTGAAAATAAAATAATTTTTCGAATTACAAGACTAAGACAATATCAACTGATAATTTCTATAACTGATATCTTATTAGCTAGTCTCCATAACTTAAAATTATTTACAACATCTTTAGCTCATTAAATCACATGGAAAATTAGATTTTTTTATGCCTGCAATCAAAAAATCACTTATATCTCTACTCACTTATATCACTTAATCACTACAAAAACTTACATAACTCTCTAAACAAAATATTTTCTACATGGAAATTAATAAATAAATAAATAACTATGTAGTGCTCCCTTACAAGCAAATGCAGAATTCAATTAAATGAAAAATTTAAAGCCTAATTTGATCTATAATTTCATTTATATGAGTTCATCATATTCATACTGGATTGATAAAAGTTAAATATTTCTTATTGAACGTTTCGTTTCTATTTTACAATTAAATAAAAACTATTCTTATAAAATTGCTCTGTTATTCCTTTCAAATCATGTGTTAATTTTCTTTTAAAAACAAAGTGACTATTCTCATTATTATGATACTAAAAATAATCATAAGGACGTCTCAACATATTTATGTAAATTGAATAGTGCACATTGAAAAAAAATCATAAGGATGTCTCACCAAATTTATGTAAATCGAATAGTGCACATTGAAAAAAATCAAAAGGATGTCTCACCATATTTATGTAAATCGACTAGTGCACATTGAAAGAAATCAAAAGGATGTCTCACCATATTTATGTAAATCGAATAGTGCACATTGAAAAAAAATCATGAGGAATTCTCAACATATTTTTGTAAATCGAATAGTGCACATTAAAAAAATTTAACGATTAAAAAAACCCATGATTTTTATAATTTTTTAATATAATCTCATAAAACTTACTGTTCAGATGATGAACTTACTCATTCACGACCATGATTTATATTAAAATATTAATTAGTTTTGACTTTTTTCAATTTTAAGAAAATATATGCATGTATAGAATACTTGATTGCCTGTAACAAAACTAAGAAGAACTTAACATTTCTTTATATTTATAGTTTAGCTTTTATATTGAAATAGTAAATCGTTCATTTCAATTATGCTTTATTAATTAGTAAGCTGTTTAGGAACATTTTAATTTCCATAATTAATTAATCAGTTTTATATATTTAAATTCCTGAATATATTTTTAATGCTGTGCTTTAAAAAAAATACTAGGTTTTTATTAAAGTTATTTATACAACCATGATATATTATTGTACTATCGAATAGAAAAAAAATAATTAAGAGTAACAGGTAATTAAAAGGGTAGATTTGAAAAAACATCTAAGAACAATAAATCAGAAAAATCAAATTTTTTTCCCCTTTCGTTTTGAAGAAAAAGGCATAACTAGAGAGCCTAGAGTACAGGCACTCTAGGCATAACAATATGTTTCTCCTCTAAGAAGAAAAAACCTCTACCCTTCCTAGCGGCGGTGAAGTCAAGAATCACACACGCTCTTAAAAAAAAATCGCCTAACAAGAGAGCTGGTTCTGAAATGATGATGGTTTGGAAAATCGCGGCACGGAACACCTGTACATGTACAGATTTGGTACATGTACAGATTTGGTACATGTACAGACCTCTGAAATAGTCATTAGAATTTTGGAACACACTGTAGTGCCTAATTTAGAATGCTTAAAATGCTACTGAACCATCGTATTTTCAAAATATTTTTCTGAATAAACTATACTCCCTCACTCGGACTTGCTCATATTTCAATCCCATGAAATGGTTCGCGATTTTATTGGTATCAACTGTACTTATGAACAATTTTATAAAAAAAAATATGTAACTTAAATTATTCTTTCATTCCTAAATGACAAGTTTTCCAAAGAAATTTTTTAAAGCAAGAAAATCGTCTCATTTACTTTTAATATTACATCATTTATATGAAAGAAAGTTTAAATCGAATTCAAAGAAAAACACAGAAATAATTAAGATTAAAATATAGATATATTTTTATTCATCTTAAAAAATTTATTTTTAAATACACCATTACTAAATAAAAAAAATTCTCCCTCGAAATATATCGCTTTAAAAAAATATGACGTCATTCAAATAAGATAACAACAATATAAACCAATAAAAATATGACGCATTCATGTTATAAATAGAAGTTTCTGCCCTTCGGGTAGAGTTGAGTATCTCTTCCAGCTTCTATTGAAAGAGTTTTTTTCTGACAAAAACATCTGAATGAAATAAATGAGGTAAAATATTCAAACTGAAATAGCTAAGTTGTTATGCAACACTATTGAATAAATTCAAAGAAATGTAAAATAATTGAAAGAAAAAAAAGGTATTTCAACAAAAGTTGGTTTTTTCAAAATACATCACTCTTTTTTAACTTATCTAACTCCACCTCATAATGTAATGTAAAATTGATTCTAACGATAATATTGAAATATTTTAAATATAATCTATTTTAGGACCGCACACCTAAGGCGCTGGGTTAGCCTATTTTTTCAAGGGAACGTATAAATACTTATGAGGGACAAAAAATTTTCTTTATAACCATAAAAACGCAGTACAAGAACAATTAGGCAGTTAGGTCCAACAATTTTGATTGAAGATAAATTTCGATTTAGGTTCAATATGAATACATGAAATTCGCCCCCTTCTCAGAGGTGCGTTTACTGAGGGGGAAATTGAAGGCTATCTAGACAAGTGAGGTATTGCTTCCTATACATATCTTTACTCTGATTTCAAGGAGGCCAAACACAAGTCGTTATGACAAATACTTTAGATGTTGCCGGAGTTTTCTTTTTTGAAAAAAAAAAACAGTACAAATTAAATTAATTCTAGTTATTTATAACCATCGTTGAACAGCCGACCCAATTTTTGGGTTTACGACTACTAATGTTCAGCTACGTAGCCTTGTAATTTTGAACCCAATCCAGAAGACAAGGGAGCTACTGGATCGAGTATTGGGAGAAATTTGCCTTCGTGGAGGACTTTTTGATGGAATTAACCAGCATTTGCGTTACATGGAGAGGAAGATCACGAGAACCTCCCACGGTTAGCCTAACGGCAAGGGGACTCTAACCTATGATCCTCCTACCACTGAGGATATTTCACGTAAGCACTGTGGTCGATGCAAGCCGGATGCTGATACGTATCGAGCAGCCATCGCCGTGATTTGAACCCGGTTCACCTCATTGGAAAGCGAACGCTCTATCCCCTGAGCCATCGCGGCTCTATTCTAGTCTAAAATTGCTACCTAAACAAGTGAGATAGTATTTACATACTGTTACATATTCTCTTTTTTTTCAGGTCTCGCCAGAAGACTTGTGTAACAGAACTCTAAAACTGTCCGTGTATGACGTCGATAAACGTAAAGTCCGTCATTGCTTGGGACATGTGATTTTTCCTTTGACGCAAGATGAGTGCATGTCCGGAGATGTGATTTGGCGGGATTTAGAGATAGCGCCACAAGTATGCATCTATTTTGTTTGTTTTGGTTTTTCATTATGATATGAATATAGGACATTGAATAATGAAGACTATAAAATGTGAAAAAATTAAAAGTTTCTAAAAGATGTTGAGAACTGCGAAAAAAAATTCCTGGGAAAACAATCGAGGAAACAATCACTCCTCCTTATTTAATTTTAACATTTTGATTTGTTATATTAAAATTAATTGTGCAATTGAATATGTGAGAATTTTGTTAGATTTTGAAAGTAGACAACTTTTGCGATTTCATTCCAATAAAGATTATTTGGTGCAGTTACAAGTTTCTGAACTAAATATGAGTTGAAAAAGCTATCTTCTGTATTGTTTGATCCAATCTAATTTATGCTTCTAGTTCAAGCAATAGCAAAAAAGTGTAAAAATCAGACAAAGTAGCTGGGATAAACAGTAGTAGAATCTTTAAGCCTTTCAGGACCATAATGGCACTTAAACTATGGATTTTTAATTTCCCTTGGAGACAGAACATCGAAATACAGCGTTAATACGCTACTCTTGAATTACATCTCGTATTAGTACGTATTCGTACTTTTTAGAACGTATAGACTTAAAGCGTACTTGCTGGGGAATTGCCTCTTTTTTTCCGAAGGGATCAGGCAACTTATCCATAAGTTGCCTGAAAAGCAATTTATATCTTCATTATTATCAGAGCTATTTTAAAAAAAATAATTTAAATGCAAATTTAGCAATACGAAACATTTTGAGTGCATTCTTATTGCTCTATTCATAATTAAAAAGAATTCTCATTTTCCTTACGTATTCTATTTAGTCGCATGAATAACAAGGCAATTTATATCTTCCTTTTTACTTTTAGAACTCTTTTTTTTTTTATAAATAGTTTAAAGGTAAAACAGTTAAACAAATCGTTTTAAACGTATTCTTATTGCTGTATTTGTAATTCAAAAGAGTTCTCATTTCCCTTACGTATTCCATTTAGCCTGATGCATTCTTATTACTACTGCATTCTTATTGCTCTATTCATAATTAAAAAGAATTCTCATTTTCCTTACGTATTCTATTTAGTCGCGTGAATAACAAGGCAATTTATATCTTCATTTTTATTTTTAGAACTCTTTTTAAAAATAATTTAAAGGTAAATAGTTAAACAAATTGTTTTAAATGTATTCTTATTGCTGTGTTTATAATTCAAAAGAATTCTAATTTCCCTTACGTATTCTATTTAGCCTGCTGCATCGTTAGGAGAGATCCAACTCTGCCTATCATGCAATCCATACAGTAATCGCATTAAAACCACCGTTTGCAGGCTTAAGAATCTACAAGGAATCTCTTCAGATGCACGTAAGTTACATTTTATACCTTCCATCTCAACTACAAACTCTTGTGGTAGTTGTAGTAGTAAGTACATTGGTTTAATGGTATCATTTATTTATTTATTGTTCTATGTCCACAACGCATCCTGTGCTATAAGCTTTGCATGATAATTTATAAAACACGGTCGAACTTCTGTTTAACAAACTTTACGAATTTTTCGATTTTGCGAATTTTTTTGAGAAACCAAGAAAATTTTGGAAATTTCTTCGTCAAATAACTTCCAAATAGAGAAATGAATTTTCTATTTAACGAACTTTTCTTTGAGATCCACTTTTCCTATTTCCCAAAACATGTCAGAACATTTTAAACTTGTTAACGCATTTTATGGGGGGAAATGACCTTAAATTGATTTTCGAAGCCACTTAACTTTTAGAGAAAGCAGTAAAACCCCTTTCCCTTTTGTTTACATTTCAAACGACAAACTCAGACAAAATGAACGGATTTTACCCATAGCAATTAAACTTAAGAGCGCATGCGGTAATGTATGGTTAAAATTACTTTTATAATAAATGCAGTTATGATTTTATGCTTAAATTTTGCGTTTTTTAGTTGAAAATGTATGTAGCATGATAGTGTCACACTTTATAATGTTTTGCTATATTCTTGCTTTTCATGAAGATTTTTTTTTTATGGCTAAGATTTATAAAATGAATAGTAGATACTAGTTTACAAGATAAAGGTGTATCAATTGCTATTTTAATTGTGTCTAGGGTTTATGAATTTAAAATCTGGTTTGTGTTGTTTAAGTATTTTAAAAGGCGATTTTCTATTTAACGAATTTTCCATATAACGAACTTATTAACGGGATTTAGACGCTTCTTTAAATAGAGGTCCGACTATAGTTATTTTAAAATTCAACAAAATTAAGCGCACTTCTATTGGTTTTTCCGTAATCACCATATTTTTAGAATCCAGAAGGAGGCTATGCCTTATGCTCGCTACCGCTCGCCAACCTCGATGATTGTATCCTAATAATTGTTACTTATTAGCATAAAACAATATTATTCACTTGTTAAAACGTATTCAGCTTGCTTACGTTTTTGTCCCCACATCCAAACATTTCCCTTCTGATTCTATTAAGATCTATTTGTGAACGTAAATAAGTTTGCTTAGTAATTATTTTTTAAAACAACACTCAAAATTAAAAATATATTGCTATAACAAACTTGGTGAGTTTACAAGCGTAATTTCCGCTTACCAAAACAGGGTGAAATATTACATACAATTTATTCATATTTGCTAAGTTCTTAATCATTTAACGAATCGCTTTAACTATAATTTATAATAGTACATTGATGTAATTTTCACAGAAAAATAATAATTTTGAATTACTTTTTTAATTGCAATGCGAGAAAAAATAATTCCTGCTCGCACTGACCTAATGCTGATGTAAAATTTTCTCAGTGGTAGACAGATCATGGGTTAAGATCCCCTTTCCATCAGGCTAACCGTGGGAGATTTTCTATGTTTTCCTCTCCATGTAACGCAAATGCGGATTAGTCCCATCAAAAAGGCCTCCACGATGGCAAATTTTTCCCTATACTTGATCCAGTAGTTCCCGCGTCTCCTGGATTGTGTTCAGAATTACAAGGCTACGTAGTTGAACATAGGTAGTCGTAAACTTGGCTATTCAACGATGGTTATAAAATATAAAATCAAATTATAAATTATAAGTAAATGAATGAAAAAATATTAAAGATTTTTATTATGTAACTACATAAGATTAGGTTGAAAAAAACATTATACTATCATTTCATTCATTAAAATCATCATTCACCACATTTTATGAATGAAAAGACTAATAAATGTGAACCAATGAGTTAATTTAACTTTACTTGAATGGCATTGTAAAATATACTATTACTTCCTAGTAAAGGAAATAACATTAAATTAATAGTAGTTGATCTGAAAACATCTCAAATTTACGTATACAATTTTTCTCTAGATTCTAATCAACTAAATGACGTAAATATGACCACGTTTTGTTTTCACAGGCAGAAAATAATACGAATTGCTGCAATCGCATCATTTACCCACCTGTTCCACAACTTTATATTGTTTACTCATTTTTTACTTTAACCATATTTTGTCATTAGTGTCTTGCCCTTTATATAACTTCGTGTGGAGGAATTTTTTCGGTATTAATCTAATCTACCGCATATCGATTAATATTTAATAGGATTAAACAAATCAGGTTTCATAGTGTCGAGAATGTAATTAAGATTAGTTTATGTATCAAATTTGAATGTCAGTTCTCGCGGAAATAATATTACTGGCATTATATAAACACGCATAAAGAGAGTTAAAATACGAACACCTTGAATAACTTTTGATCTAATGATTGGTTGCTCGCTTAGTAGCATACAGCCTTGATAATTCGAAATGTAAATTGTAAATATGCAAAGTAATTAGTGGTTTAGTTTAACCAAAAGAGGTGTCGAAAACTTTAGGTTTTCAATGTTAATTTTATGTATGTCAGTATCTCTGGAACTATCGCTTCGCCATCTTTGGGACGAATTAAAATATTTTTGCACACAATTATAAAATTTGTTTAAAAAATAGTCTAAGGTTAAAACATCAACAAAAAAATCAGAATTTAAAAAAAAATACTTCTTTGATTTTATTATCATTAAACTATTTGTCCAATTTTATTCACTTTTCGGTATTTAAAGCAATGCAAATTATTTTTCAATCCTTATTAAACAAAATTATTAGTAAATATATTTTTATAAACAAGTTTTATAATTGAGTTCACTTAAAGAAGCTAAACGTTACTGTCAACAAGGGTTACTTTACTCGGTCTTAAACTTAAAAGTAAAAAGCTCGTGCACTTTAGTATTTGTTGGAAAATTATTTTGAAATTCGGCGTTGATTATTCTAAATTTATAGTGTCTAGTTTATACTTTTATCGCTTTCTCTTTCAGTAAAAATTTTAAACCCTGGTAGGAAAAAGTAACCCATACAACCCAGATAACTTAGTGCATCGCTTTTTTCAATTAATAACTATCTCTAACTTAAATTTCAGCGAACTTTTTCCCATTGTTAGAGATAAAACTAGCAAAATTAACTTGAGAACAATTTAAAATAATCTGTATATATTTTATAAAAATAATAAATAAAAATTAATAAACAAGTCAAGATTTTAGGATTCTCATTATAAAATTTCGTTACTGTTGTTACTTATGCCACTTTTATTTTATAACCGTCGTTGAACAGCTGACCCAATTTTTGGGTTTACGACTACTAATGATCAACTCCGTAGACTTGTAATTTTGACCCCATTCCAGAAGACAAGGGAACTCCTGGATCAAGTATTGGGAGAAATTTGCTTTTGTGCAGGACTTTTTGATGGAACTAACACGCATTTGAGTTACATGGATAGGAAGACCACGAGAAACTCCCACGGTTAGCATGACGGCAAGGGGACTTTAACCCATGATCCATCCACTTACTTACTTACTTATCCTCTACGTGCCTTTGGCACTTAAGGCCTCTAGCATATCCCTCCAACGCCTCCTGTCTTTAGCAATAGATCTTGCTTCCTCCCAGCCAGATATTCCACATTCTTTTAATTCGCCCAAAAACATGCGCTGGATGGTAAGTCTGGGTCTTCCTCTTGTTCTCTTACCATCAGGGGCCCATGTAAGCGCAACAGATGAAATTTTTTCTTTGGGCATTCTAAGGATATGTCCGAGCCAGCTCCATCTTCGTTTTTTAATTTCATCGATCCATCCACTACTGAGGATATTTCACGCCAGTACTGTGGTCGGTGTAAACCGGATGGGGAATTCATATCGACCAGCCATCGCTGGGATTCGAACCCAGTTCAGCTCATTCGAAGGCGAACGTTATATCCTCAAAGCAAACGCGGCTCTACTTATGCCACTTGCCAATATCAACAAGCCTATGAGAAACAAAGCGAATTTAAGGCAGGAGTGCGTCTCTTGTTTTTCAGTGGCGCCATCTATGGCCAAGAATATCATTTCAGCCCCACACACGTCACAACCCGTTTTACAGGGAGGACCCATTTATCCACAGATTGTAATTTTCACCTGTACCTGAGAACGATGAATCCCCGATTGAGTACCACACAGAGGTATTGATTTATTATAGGAACTTGGAAAACTTTGTGACCCCCAACAGATTTAGCGTGCACTAGTCGGCATTTATTATACGAGGATTCTTCGGCCAAATAGATTCGACCCTATAAAATTTTAGTTGGTAACATTTTACAGAAATAAAAAAAATAAGACAACATATTGTGGTACACTCTGTTTAAAGGCCGGTATAGCCTGGTTGGTAGGGCATTGGACTCTTGTTCGTGAGAAAGGGATTTCGAAACCAGCCGGCTGAAGAATCCTCGCGTATTAAATAGTCACTGGTGCACGTTAAATATGTCGGGGTCACTAAGTGCGCCAAATTTCCATAACAAATCAATACCTCTGGGGGTACTGATCCAAGAGTTCCCTTGTCTTCTGGATTGGATTCAAACTTACAAGGTTACGGAGTTATACATCGGTACTTAAATTTGGATAAGCTGTTCAACGACACACACAGTTGAAAGAAGATCAGACAAATAGCCTTCCTTTTTTTAATGTTCTTGTAACCCATGAAGATATTATTTTTCAAATCACTGTGTATCGCAAATCTTTTGCTATTTCTCTTCCATCACACGATCTTTCCTATCTTCAACCCAATCAAAAAATTGTAACATTCAATACCCTGGTCTTCAGAGCTCTTAACATTCATTATTCACTTAAACTTTTAAAATCAATTGCTTTAAATCCATCGAAAAAATTGTTAAAATTATGTCTAAACGTGTTTATAATTCTAAATATGTCAAATCCGGAACACGTAATTTAACTGTACTTCTGCTGTTTGTCTTTTTCTCCGAAAATTACTTTTCAAATATCAAACATTCTTTCACAACATAAATTCCAAGTTATCTCTTCTCCGAACAACAAAATTGCTCTTTCTAACCACAAGCAACTTTTTAATTGCTTCAAAAACTGGGAAATTTACAGAATTTTTTGTCAATGTAGACTTTTATAAACAGGGTTGGATAAAAAACAAGAACTCAAATCTTACCTCAAGCTACATCAAAATCTCCAATGTTCATCTATCGCAACACACTGGAGGACAAAGGGCCATAGGTTCGGTTTTTTGGTTTTGAAATCTGAGTGATTTGAGTTAGAGCTGTATTAAGCTCATACTATGATGCTGACTCTAAACATCGCAATTTCGACTTATGCAAAAAAAAAAAGCACCACCAAAATGTTAATGACTGCAATACTTCCGGTTCGGTGAACTAACTGCAGAATGTAAAGTTGACCGCTAATTTGTAAAAATGTTTTAGATCGCGATTAAAGTCTTTTACATCATCCTGACAGTAGCACTAATTTTGGACTTTGACAAAGATTAGTTTTTGAAGTGTATTTCTACAAGTACAATAGTTTTCATGATTCTCAATAACTCCATTTTTTTTCCAGTTCTATACGTTAAGGTGCAGCTATATCACGGCCGTAAGATGATAAAATGCAAGCGTACTGTACCGCAGTCCTCACCTTCTACGACTCAACAAGAGATTTTATTAGACGAGACCTTCAGCTTCGCTGTATCCGGAAGATTTTTCGACTCCTGCAGCTTCACTTTCTCAGTGATGGTAGCTGGATCCAGCCCTCTGGTCAAGGATACCTACCATGGCCAAGTGGTCATCGGTCCTTTCATGTATGCAAGGGGCGAGCAATTGCAGCACTGGCAGGAAATGCTGACCAATCCAAGAAATATGGTAATGAGATGGCATGGCCTGGAGGCCGTCAAGAAAAATTGATGCTGATTAGATAATACCGAATTGCCATTGAAGTATGTGACTATAATGTTCCATAGCTGTTGACGTTTGCTGTTTACGATGATCTGAAAAATTATAGCTAAATAGTCCTTTTTTCTTTTTACGGTAGATCTGGAGGAAATGTAAAATATTTCAAATTATTCGTATTTAGAATTCAAAAATAAACTGATGATTGTTATCAAATCTAGTCGACAGTTTCTTTTGAAACGCATAAAATATAAGGCTGCTGCCAAATCAGAATGGCAAATATAGCAGACTTTAGATCAGAGATATAGCAGACTTTATTTGAAAAGTTCTTACCTTTTTCTGGCAAAACTAATACAAATGCGTGAGATGGCATTTTCAGAGAAAAAAATTATTTGCCTCTTTTACGATTTTAAAAAATATCCTAGTTTTTACGTAGTTTATTTTAAGAAAAAAAAATTTTTTTTTTTTTTTTTTGATCAGCCACATTGTTTTATACAAAAATACAATTTAATTCAAAAAAATTTATGAATGGATAAATATATACCATAAACTACCTGTCTAAAAAATTACTCTTTTAAATACTTGAAAGAAGTAGCAAGAAGTTTTACATAGTATTATTCTCAATTTTTAAAAAAAAAAAAATCTTTATTTCTAACTTTTTGCAGGTATTACACTGTAGAATGATACTGTAGTACATAAAAAAGTCTAAAAATGAAAAATTCAAGATCACGAGGAAATAAGATTCTCAAGTTAAGCTTACATTTATTGTAAAATATCTTATAGAGGATTTTGAATCGTAACAACCAAATACATCCTACCTATAAGCCGATAGATATCAGATATTTTTCTCAAAATCCTAGCTTAATCCAGCTTATCCTAGTTCCATTACAAAGAATTAGTAACTAGTTATAAAAAGGGAAATCGTTTTAAGTAATTACTAAAAATAGATATATTTAACTTGCTAAATTCTAACACAGATTTTATTTATTATCTCAGCCTTTAAAGAAATAATACAATTTTTAAAACATTTAGCCGATTGAAATTAAATGAAGAATATAAAACGAAAATCTGCAACAAAAAGTAACTCGTGTGCTTTATTAATTACCGATGAATTTTAATGTACTCGTAGTACAGGCTGATGCAGAGTTATTGTTTAAAAATTTACAGGAAGGTTAGGAACAGGAGAACAAACATAAACCTTAAAAGAATATAAGGATTGCAATACAGGATGCTCATTCCCACAAAGCCAGAGACTAAAAAATGCGTGACAGATCACAAAAAGTAATAAAAGAATAAACAAAAAGACGAGTTTATACGACAATTTTGTTTTGATATAGGTTCTGAAGTTGCGATCAGCAACTGTAATAAGCATCTCACAATAACGATGCATCGATTAATGTACGTTCCCAAGAACATGCTATTTTGAATGAATGGTTTGCGGGCAAATAGCGTGTCTGCATTGCGTTTGCTACTATATTTCCCTCTATGGTTCTTGGTTAATCACGTTCATGTTCCTGACGTACTTATATTTTTTAAACAATAATTTTGAAACACTTCGTAGAAAACTCATGTGTGTAAGATTTGTCGTCTACTTCGCTATAGTTTTGAAAAAAGAGATTTAAATAAATTAATTTAAAGGCAAAATCGAATTTTTTTTCTAATTTAATAAGTTATTTTAAGTGTCGTTAGATTTATCGGTCTTTTCACTGTTTATATTCGCTTTGTTAATTCATTTTGACGAAATTTATCGCGCAAAATTTTATCTCTTGTCTAAAGCATAGGCATGAGAGTAATTGTTCAAAGCAAGTCTGCTTTACTAATTGTCAAATAAATTTAAGTCTACTAACTAGCCTTCATATAGTTCGGAAAGGTATTGAATACATTTATAATATTATAACGTATACTTTGATGATAAATATCTTTTCATTCAAGGTAGACTTGACAAATTTGTTTTTTTGCAATCTCTTGTGAAAGAAAAAATAATTATTTATAAAATATCAATATCAAAATGATTGACAAGAAATAGTTGGTGTTCTCTTTTTCATGCAACTAAGTCATAAGAATGTACGGTTAATTATGATTCATTTGATTGATTCTCTAATAACAAAACAAGAGAAAATTCTTCGAATTAAATTTTACTGAAAATATTTAGGACTAATCCAAGCTAATGCCCTGCAAACGTCAACAGCTGGAATTGAAATTGATTTAACTTATTCAATCATGCGTTACTTAAAAAAATGGCGTGGTAGCTATTTAAAATTATTTAGTTTATTTTCGGTTTAAAAAAAAAAGATCGCAGTTTTGAAGGTCTGAAAAATTTTCTTACATTTTTTTAGTTATATTGAAATACATTTTTTATTGAAAAATTGTAAATAAGTAAGAAAATAACTATTAAAGTACCAAAATTAAAACACTTACTTATTGCTTTTTCCCCGGATTGTTTTAAACATCAAAGCTTTTTCTTTACATGATTCGACTCAATCGAATCTCGTTAAATGTACAGATATCAACTGTTTTCCGTAGTTTGTAGTATCTGTAAATCAAAATTAAAAAAAATTGATAAATAAACTACAGAGTTTTAAAACCACATTTGATTGAATTAAGAAAATTTTAAAAAGTCACTCAGTATCTTGTATAAATTATTTTTAACAATCGTTGATATTCAATCTCGACTTATAACTGATACTTAACAAATAATTAAAACAGTTATCATTGTAAAAGTGGTGTGTTTTTTTACCGAAAAGAGTATTTTTACCTTCGCCTGGAGATTAAAAGGCAGCTTTTTGTTTCTATCTCATTATATTATGTAAAATAAAACTTTATAAAATTAAAATCTTTCAAAAAAATTTTGTCTTTTTTATTTATTTCTTAAAATATACTCTTCTGCGACAAACGGTATAGCAAAAATAATTTACAAGGATCACTCAATCAAAAAAGAGAATTCTTAAAGATCCAGAAACGAACCGTAAGAATTAGTGAGTAATTTGTATACTCACCACTCATCAAAAAGGTGTATTTTTAGAACTTTAAATTCAAATCTTATGAACTGGTGCGAATTAGGAACTGCTACTTGCACTGAGAAAGATTATATACGCTGTTTTTAAAGGTAGAAAACGACGAATCAAAATTAATCTAGTAATTACTAATCAAAAAGGCGTATTCTTAAAAATCTTTGTTTGATCCTAAGGAACTGGTGCAAATTGAGATCTGATACTTGCACTGGGAATAATTATACAGGTTATTTTCAAAGATAACAAAAGCCAAATCAAAATCAATCTTTTAATTACTAATCGAAAAAGAGAATTCTTAAAAATCTATTTTCAAACCTTAGAGACTGGTGCGAATTGGTAACTAATACTTTTACTGAGAGAGAATATATGTGTTGTTTTCAAAGAATGAAGATAATTTATTTTGTGTAATATCTGATACATCAGATAATTCATTGTTGTGTGATACATTTGTCTTGCTTTTTGTGTAAGTGATCTTCCATTTCATAATAATAATAATAATACATAAATGCATATAGTTTCGTACATTTGTTCATAGATATAAGAAAGTTATGTAATTTGCGAAAATTAATTCTTGTGAGAAAATAGTATGTATTGAATACTTTAATGTCTTTTTTTATACTAAGATGGGGTTGCTGCTAGATTTAGAGGTGAAAACGGTATAAAAGCTGGTCTTTGGTAAACACCGTTCGTAAAAGAGGTTTAACTTAATCCACAACAATTTTTCTCCGTTATTTTAATTTATTTAAGTTTTCCAAAGATAAACCATTATCCTCTATAGTCTCTTACTTGTACAAATACAATGTCACAACTTTTTCGAATCGCCAATTAACTGGGATAAGTAATCTAACTTTTAATTACAAATGTTATTTTATCTAATTCTTCACGGAAAATTAATAAAACATATAATGTATGCAATATATTATCATATACGTGTAATAAAGTGTGATATATAATATAGTAAAATATAATATAAAAATAATAAAAGAATTATTGATACATTCATACAGTTATCAATATTCTACAGTTTGGCACAAAAAGTGTTTGAAATATAATGAAACATTATATGATATTTTAACTCTTATAGAGAATTGAATAAGCAATAAAGTAAGTTAAATGAACAAGTATATGTAAGTTAAATAAATATGTATCAAAACTACCTATAAAATTGTATGCCTTTTATATCAGTTACTTATAAGGGAAAATATTTCTTGAACAGGTGCATAATACAAAAGATATCAAAACTACACAACAAAACATAGATATCACAATTTCAAGAGATTTTTATCGCAAATGTAAAAAGGCATCAATTAATGAATAACATGATCTAGAAATAAATATCATGATTTTAAAAAACTCTTATAAATTCCCAAAATTAGATATACATTGTCAATAATTTAAAAACTAATCACTTTAAATAGCTTCAAAAGTTTCGAAATTTATTGGAATCAACGTATAACCCCTAATTAAAAGTAAAATAATAAAGTAAAACTATAATTAACCCTTTCACATTATAAATAAAGCAAGAAAAAGAATTGTATTACAAGTATAATTCTAACACCTGTAAATTCTAATATTGTAGAAATTTTAAGTATTTTTCAAAGTTAATCGCAAATGTTAAATATTTTTGAAATTAATCGCACTTGAGGAAGTTAAAGTAAAGAATAAAAATGTTCATTTATTTGAAAATTGGAAATTTAAATTACTTCTCTTAAAATTATTTATTAACTTAAATTTCAGTAAAATACTACTGTTAAAAACAAAATAGCACTTATCTATTCTAGTATTAGGAAACTAAAATTTATGTATTGACTAGTCAAAGTTCGTTTTTTTTTTTTTTCCCCAAATTTATCAAACGCGCATTTTCGTATAAAATTGCTCTACTACAAAATTATCTCAATCTTGCTCCAATTCCTCATGAATGTAGCTCAAACTGTTCCAAAAAGAATGCAGCTCAAAATGCTTTCAAAAATTTCTTCAAAATATCTACTTTAAAACAATACAATAATTCTCACAAAGCTTCAAAACAATAATTTTTATAAAGCGGCTCGAAACTTACGTTAAAAAAATTATTTTTGTTTCAAAAGTGAGAGAAAAGTGCCAATTTTAAATAAACTTTTTTTCGTTGAAATTCCACGTCGAGAAAAACGAGGCTAAAAGAAAACTGTTTCAGAGCACCAAACACTCAACTGTAAAATTTCAATTCCAAAATAATTACAAATTAAAAAATATCAACAAAAAAAAATACTTTTATAATTTTTGAAAAAAGAAATTTAAATTACAGCAATTTTAAAAAAATTACTTGTCAATCAAGAATATTTTTTATTTGCATACTATATTTTCATAAAATATGACATGAGAGAGTGTTTTTTTTTTTTCGTATAATTTTTACGAATAGAACCTTTAATTAAATCTTACCCTTTTTCAAAATTTTACTTCTTATGAGAAAAAAAATCTGGCAGCTACCCTAGTGTTGTTTAGAAATATACTTATTGTTTATGCTTGTTGTTTTTGTTATTGCTGTTGTATAAAAGTACGCTAATTGTTTAGAGTGTCGTTGATGTTTTTTCACAGCGTTCTCATTATGTACTGCACTGTATTTGAAACCTTTAATATCTTGTTTCTTAAACCATTTAAAAAGCTTATTGTGAAACAACAAGGCCGCGTGAAAATACGTTCCATAGATTTATCAAAAAATCAGCAAACTCTAATTCATAATATAAATGCTGTTTGAATTTTTTTTTCTGGTGCATTGAATGTAATATTTAACAGAAATACATTACAACGCTAAATAAATTTCTATTTTATTTGAAATATGCTTAAAAAAATTAAGGAAAATCAAAATATAAGTCTAAACGAGCAAAAATTTCCTTCTAAAAATTTTGAGAAGGGAGAGCCCATTTTTTTCTGGAAAGCATTGATTAACGTAGAATTAATTCAATTAAATTAACTACATAATAAACGATTACGATAATAACTATAAACGAAATAATGATTCAATAGCGTAATATCCAAATTGAAGAAGAAATTTTGATCTTGTTCTTATATTAGAGTTAAAACACAATTCAAAAATTAGACAAAAATGGCCTACTATTTAAATTAATTTCAAATTGGACTGAACAGTTTATATAGTTTTCCATTACTATTAAAAAAAATTCCAAACTGAACAGTATTTGCAAGTTATTGTTTCACAATAAGTTTGGTATTTGTTCTTTTTAGCATGCCTTTAAACATTTATTCTTTTAATTATTTCAAATGTGTTCACGTTTCTGTTAGTCGTAATTATATTCCATGAAACATTGTTTTCCAGCATCGTTTGAAAAAAACGTTTGAAGAGTTAAAAAAAAAAAAATTTCTCTCCATCTAACTTTAGTTAACGAAACAAAATTAAAAGAGTCTTGGTAACTTTATTATGATTTGGGAGAAAACTAATTAGTGTAGCTTATTTAATTATCTTTTTTATGACTCAGCAAAAAAAAATTAAACATTTAAATGTAGCATACTTCGATTTAATTTTAATATTAAAACTACAAATAACATTATTTACAAAGCTACTTAACAATGTTAGGGTTAATTAATGTACTATTTGTAATTATTTGCACATACTTTTACTGATTTATTTGCTCAAAAAATTGACTCTAAAAATTAAATATTAGGCCACATGTTATAGATATTAAGTTAAATACATTAACTTACAATATTACTTTAATATTACAGCATGTGTATTTTGTTTTTAAAAAAAAAATTTTTTTTTGAACAATACAAATAATTGGTTTCGCAAATAATTTCTTTGATATCTGTAAGTATCTTATGAAGTTTTGTAGTCCGACAAAAAAATATTTAACGCGTATTTTTCTTCCTCAATAAATAAAAGGGAAATAAAAAAATTTAATCAAATTCTGATATATCGATTTTTTTTCGATCTTTCACATATACTATAACAGAATAAAATATTCCAACAAAAATTGTTATTAAAATGATTTAAAAGATAAAATAGAAGCAAGCTTTTTTTTCGCTATTAAACAGCACAAAAAATCATTTCTCTTAGTAAAAGCATGTTAGAAAAATGTAATTAATACATAAATTGGAATTGAATTTCGTTCTTACTTTCCATGAGTAAATATTATTCTTAGAATATAAAATGCACATTGTTAACTAAATCGAGTATTTTTTGCAGCTGAAACTTTCAAAAATATTCAATAAAAAATATGTACAATAAAAAATATGCTCTTTTCAAATGATTAAACAAAAAGGACGATAGAAAAAGGAATCATTAAAATTCAAAACGACAATATTCATTTTCATGAACATATTCCATCATCAAAAAAATCTCATTAATTATTCCTTACATTTCAAATTCAATGTTCTTTGCTTCCCCAAACGATATTCTACGGAATCTCTCTTGTTCTTTATTTCCCCCATTTGCTTAAAATTGAATTTCTCCTTGTCATATTTACTTTCTTGTCATGCAATGCATTAATAGATGTCATCTTAGTAATGTAATTACTCTATGTTCATTTTAATTTTCATCCCTATTTGTTTGTTGTGTTCTTTTCTGTCATTTTGCAGTACATATCATGTGTTATAAGCAAATGTTGAAGTATTTTGTGAGATTGAAATTCTAAATAAAAGTGTATTTGTGTTATCAAATTTTCTTCTCTCATTTTGTATTTCTAAACTATTTTTTAAATATGTCACTCTTAAAGTAGGTGACGTTTTTATAACATGTTAGATTTAAACCATGCCTATAACGTTGATATCAGGAATTATATTCTATTCACTTTAGAAATTGTAGTCTCACACAAATAAAAAATTATTTTCGAAACATAAAAAATAAACGTAATATGCATTTTACGACAAAACAATCGTAATACAGATATCTAGATGATTATGGGTTCTGAGATACAATATTTTAGAACATTTTCAATGTTGGTATTTGTTAAAATTATGTATAGTAATGCATACAAATTAAACAATTCATAATAATTTTTATAAAAACAGAATCAGCAAATTTTCATACGTTTTGAAAAGTTTAGGAAATGTACCTCATTGTTAGAATGCTATATAATTTGCTCAGAGTAACATTCCATTGCTTCCTATCTTTTTTTTTTAATACCTGACCACGAACATGAATAGTAAAAAAAAAAGAAAAAAACATCGGAAAGTTCATAATATAGCCGATAGTTACTTCCTCATCAGTCCTCGCACTTCTCAATATCTAGATCAGGGGTTTCCAGCTTACATGAGGCCGGGGGCCGCAATTAATAACACCAGTCAAATGGCGGACAGCAACTTTATCAAAATTTTATATAGGACTCTTTTATGTTTGGAGGAGCTTTACTGTCAGATTTGTATCAAGTTGTACAAAAGAAAAGTATTTAATTACAAATTAAAATAACAAGTAGATTTTTACCTGAGAAATAAATTTTTTTGCACCGTCGGCATGTTAAATTTCACAGAAACGAAGAAACTAGTTTTTTAAAGAAAGAAAGGTATTTTGAACTCGTATAAATTTTTTACAAAAATTGTCAGCAAAAAAATAACTAATATATTTTAGTTCGAGAGCCACAAAAAAGAGGCATCGCGGGCCGGATGTGGCCCGTGGGCCGTCAGTTGGTAACCACTAATCTAGATGATGACGTATCTCCATGGAGAGCTCCACGGGTAAGCAGGGATGTGTTCATAGGCTTGTTTCTTTTGTTACACATGGTGTAGCATGGCAATCATGCCCAGGCAGAGGCAACTTTCAATCCTTCACACTCCAGTTGTACATTGATCTTTTCATTATGTGAAATAGCATCTCTTTCTTCATCCTCATAGTACAAATGCTTTGACGATGGAGCATTGCATTGTCGTCAGTTATCTCTCTACATGTTTCCATCATTCTACCAGATGTTTCCATCATTCGCATCAGAGCTTCCTTAATTGTCTAATCAGTTCAAAATACCTAATCAGACTTTATTGAAATGTCTGACTATTAAAAAAATCCAAAGAACTGTGAATGGCATGGATGGTTCTAAGCTGCACCTATTTTGTTACAACTTTGGAAAGTTGGCATAAAAGGATGTCCAGCTGCCAAAAAAAAAAAAACGGTAGAATATTTTTTTTTTGTAATTGCAAGATTAAGGATCCAGTTTCAAATTCTCTCTTCTTTTATGAATTGCTTGATTAAACTGGCCATTGAAAAGTACTGCACGACAACTTAATGTAAGTCCACGCCCTTTAAGGTTGCGCAGGCGTTCCTGTATTTTACTGAAACTGTTCTCAATAGTTCCTTTTCTTCAACGTCAAAATTTGTTCCCCAGAGTTAGTTTTCGATTATTCAGATAAATTCACTGAGCTTGAAAAAAAATTTTAAAACTTTATTAAGACAAAAAAGGAATTTAGAGATCATAAAAATTTCGAAACAGCATTTGACATTTACTCACACAAAAAAAGGTACTTCTAGATATTCGATCTCGCTCTGCTAACCTTCATTTCCTCCAGTCGCTTGAATGCTAGTACTGTCCACTCTTTACTCTTATTTTAATAATAGACAACGAAGTCTTCAAATTCCATACAAATCTTTAAAAAAATCAACCGTGAAATAAGCTAATTGAACTAACGACATACAAAAAATTTAAAACGATTTCCCGTTAAAAACACAAGCACATAAAAAACGAAAACGTTAAAAGAAACAAGCAGTCGTCATGGTAAAGTATTAAATGACGTTGACTAACTCCCAGGTTCTCTCTCCTTCTTTAATATAGGTTTAAAGTTTTATAATGTTACGCCAATGAATAACCAATATAATAGCTTATATAATTGAGTTACAATCAAAGTATTCGCCTCTCTCGTTACAGCAGTTTCTAATTTTTTTTTCTTTTTATTTAAGAGATCCTTAAACAAATGGTTATTCTCTTTATTTGGGGCATCTCCAGAGAAAGAATTTTTAACTTAATAGATCTCGATCTGAGAAAACCATGAAATGAAAACTACAAACACGTGAAAATAATTCTATAGATTAAACCTTCACCCAGTTTCAGCATTCGTGCTATTCATGTTCATGACATAGAAGGAAAATGCATTGTACATGATGTGAAAGGAAAGAAAAATAAAACCTTCACAGAAAAAAAATTCTCGAATACTGTATGTATCTTCAAAAATGATAATCGTCATTCATCAAAAACAATTCTTTCGTCTGCGCAAGTGCTGCAAATTTAAACTACAAATAAAATACGTACTGTTTTAATTATTGTTTAATACTGAACTTTCCTTGATTCAGGGTGGCCACGAACTTTAAAAAAATTCTGATTTCTCCAGACGACTAATTTTATCGAATTTCCCTGACTATATAATTGGGGACATAAATTTTATTAATTATTTTTCAAGTATACCTTATTCTTATACATAAAATATATTGCAAAATACTTTTATACGTGCTATTAGAATTGTATTAATTTTAGAAAGTTATTACGAGAACAATTTTTTAAGAAAACAATCTTGTACTTTAATACACAGCGCGCAAAATGTAAACGGACCACCCTGAATAACTTTGATTTCATAATCGAATCTTCACGTTCTATTACTTATTCTTGATGGTTCCAGGGGTGACCTCAAACATACTAATTAGTTAGTGCAGATGATATTTTACGTTACGAAATCAGACACAAAACGGACTTTCACTGAATAAACAAACCTTTTTTTTTCAGACGTTCAAATTTCTGACCCCCAATATGTAGGAAAGAGCCGCAATCTGGAAAATAGGGTCCAAATAGTTTGGTCAAGGAGAAAAATTAGGACCCCTTAATGTCAATTTTACTTTTTGCATAATTCGCCATATCTCGAAAACATTTTAAGAGAATTGAAAAATTTTTGCACTCAAATAATAAAATTCCTTTATAATTCGATGCAAAAAAATAACTTTTAGGAAAAATGTTTGGAAAAATCGAAAAAATGTTTCAATTGTAAGGTATACAATTTTTACATCATTTTAAAGATGAAATATGCATCTGAGTAATCGAAATTTTAAAAAGTCGTATTTTTTTAATTCGATTTCTCCGATTCGACTGATTTTACTCAAATTTTGTGTTTTGTCAAGTAAAATTACATTCTTTAAAAAGATGTAAAAAATTGTATACTTTACAATTAAGAAATTTTCAGGCTATCATTAAATAATAAATATTTACTAAAAGTTGTTTTTTGCATAAAATTATCTTCATATAAATTAATTTTATAATTGTAGACAAAATTATTTTAATTTACTTAAAAGTTTCTCGAGATATGGCAAAATGAACAGAAAGTAAAAATAACATAAAAGAGTCCAAACTTTAGCAATAATATACGGGTAATAACAGTAAAGGGTCCAAACTTTAACATTAATATACGGGTAATAACATTAAAGGGTTCAAACTTTAACATTAATATACGGGTAATAACATTAAAGGGTCCAAACTTTAACATTAATATACGGGTAATAACATTAAAGGGTCCAAACTTAAGTCAGTTTTCTTGACCAAACTATTGGGACCATATTTCCCAGGATAGCGGCTACCCCCTATATTTTGGGGATCAGATATCCGAATCCATTTTAAAAAATTTATAAAAAGGTGTGTTTATTCAGATCAAATAGGTTTTTATGTCTGATTACGTAACTTAAAATACACGAATGATTTGCACGAACATATTTGAAGTCCCCTCCTTAAGACATTAAAATTGAGTCCAAGAACGTGAAGATCTGATCATAAAATCAAAAATTATTCAAAATTATCCCCGTTTTTTTGTAAACTTGTACATGTTATTTTACATATTATATTAATTTTTTAATTCCTTCTTGAGATAGTTAAATAACTGCTAAAAAACTCAATTGTTTATAGCTATTTGAAAATACAGGTTTTAGACAAATTCAGTAAATGTATTTGGATTCAAAAATTTATATTTTTAATTTCGTTGCTACAGTTAGGGAATTTCAACTCATGTGTTGTTATACAATTATATCACTTGCCTGATTGCTAATACCTCGGATAGCTGGAGGGGGCAAAAATAGTTAATTCAGGTGATCAAAAAAAATTTGAAGTTTTAGATTATTAAAATTTAAATATTGATAATATTTTTTAAAACAAAGTAAAAATACTTCGTTTTAAATAATATATTTTTTACTACATAATACTTTTTGCTCATACTTATATAAAATGGAATTAAAATATGGATTTGGATTTTTGTATACTTGCAATATTTTTATAATTCATGGTTTTTTCTTGTTCGGCAGAAAAGAAACCATTTTATGTTTACCCGTTACTTAAGCTGCACGTTGATAAAATAAATGCAACACTAAAAAGAGCTGATCTGATATATGACTTACAAAGATTCTGATATACAATTGTATAAGAAATTAAAAACAGACTCACCCACAATATCTAATTCATCCAGTGCAGAAATTCATAATTAGACAGGCAAAAATCTTCAGATCTTCACTGCTTAACTACATACATGTTTCATTACTTAGTTACATAAATGTTTTTCTTTGCTTAGCTTCATACATTCTTCATTGCTTAGCTACGTTTTTTTTTTTTTTTTTTTTTTTTTTTTTTTTTTTTTTTTTTTTTTTTTTTTTTTTTTTNTTTTTTTTTTTTTTTGCTTAGTTACATTTACATGTTTTTAAACAGTTTCAAAAGGAATGAGACTTTCACGAACAATCACATAATTTTTTTTCTAATAACTTAAATTAATTTTAAGGTATTTTATGAAAAGTTCCTCGTTAATGCTATGTTCCTCCAAGCTATACTAGTAAAAGAAGCTTGTAATATATCTAGTATTTTCGACAGTAAATCAGCCACTTACAGGGGTGGATTAAGCGTACACAGGGCCCCTAGGCCATTCAAATTTTAGGGGTCCGTAGATTACATTTTTTTCTTGTATATGTTTTATTTATTCAAATATAAAAGTATTTATATAGATTTTTATTTAAAAAAGCATATGTAAAATAAAAATAAATAATAATAAATTAAATTTCACATTATTTTATTATATTAGAACTAAAAAATAATCATAACATTTTGAAAAGTCATTATTTTTCTTAATTTTTTAAAAAATTTTCAAAAAATCCATTTTAAAAGGGCCCCTAATCATTGGGGGTCCCAGGCCATGACCTAGTCTGGCCTAATGGGTAATTCAGCCCTGGTCACTTATTAAATATAACCAAAATAAATATTCCTTTAAAACCCTATTCCTCACTTTCCTTATTCCATTAAATTTATTAATATATTATTCTTACATTACACATTACACAAATCCTATTCACATGCAATTTTGTATCACCTCTTAAATTCCATTTTTTAACATTTATTAGTATTAAATAGAAGATAACAAAAATACAACTTAACTAAAAAGTACATAACCCTTTTAAAGAGTGCAAAAATTGCAATGTTAATAGCTGAGTAAAGAAAACAATTTTTAATGTAGTGAAGATAGATCATAATTGAATAGAGAAACAGTTAAAAAAAAAATAGATTTTAACTGATACAGGCATTCATATTTTAATACATAATGTATGTTTTTAATGAGAAATTAAAAAATAAGTAGTTTCGATTTAGTCTAGTTACATAAGACAAAAATCTAGTGAAAATTAAATTAAATCCCTTTTCTTATAAGGTTAGGAGTCGATAAAAATTCAAGATGCATGAATTTTTTCACAGACAAAAAAACTATTTTCTACAGAAATTGAAAATTACCAAATTTAATTTTTTTTTTTTACTTTTTTCAGAATTTTAAAATTTTCTTAACTTTTATGATAAATCAAAAAAAAATCTTAATTTTTCTGTGTTAGTTATTTTTTAAATATTTACTGAATCAAGGTAAAATTACCTGATTTGCATATTATTAAGTCATCCAGGTAACTAAATATCTTGCTTCAATTACCTATTAATTTTAATGAGCAAAAGGGCATATTTTAGTACAATTAAACTTTAATTAAGCTTTTTACAGAATTAATAAGATTCACAAAAAATTACATAAAAATTTAGGTCATAGTTTATGTCAGATTCTACAGCAGTTCACTATTGAAAGGAATTACTTAACTAAAAAACCAATATTTTTTTAAAGAAAAAATTTAATGCATATTAAAATATTTTTAAAGCAACTTTTAAGTTATAGCTAAAAGAATTTAAAAAGGAATTTTACATTATTAAAATCTAAGCTTTTCTTTTCTCCTTTTTAAGTGTTTCAGGATAAATAGAAAAATAGTAAAATCAAGAAATTAAATAGGAAATAAAAAAATTGTCCAAAAAACTTTATTATTTTATAAATAATACAGTTTTTATAATCATTATTATTTACATTTGATTAATAAAAAATGTATAGATGAAAGTGGTGCATAAATTAAGATAACAGTTTATGATAAACAATGGTGTATAAAAAAAGAAAAAAAAATAATTAAAAAAAAACAGTTTAAATTTAAACAGCCTAAAAATTAAATATATTATGAAAATCACATTATGTTAAAGCAAAGAAAAATCTTGACAAAAGGAAGAAAGTAAAATACAATGTTAAAAGAGTTAGTATGATTTTATTTTAATGATTTATACAAATAAAACATTGATGAATAACTTTACAGAACTTTATAGCGCCCTCTGTTGATGGGTTGATACGAATGTTGCTGAAAAAATACGAAGAAAAAGTTTCATACATTTGCAAAACACTACATAACATTAAAATGAAAATATTTTTAAAAGATATTAAATTTTTAACAAATACAATCTAAAGAAAGAAAATGAATATTTCATTTAAGAAAGTAAATTTAACTTTAAAACATCCAGCAGTACACGTAAAGCTTGTGAGTTCGAGGCATTTGCCAGTAATAACTGTCTGTATCCTTAAGAAATTAAATTGAACGACAGATTTAATTAATGACACAAGGTCCAGATTTGCTTCTACAGGCATCAAAGAAGCTGATAGTCATCACTTTTTCTTTCTTAATAATGTGGTAAGCAGTTGTGATTTAAGCCTACACAGAGATAAACATAAACTAAAATATGATTTTCTTAATTCTGCTGCAGGGAATGAAAAAGTTTAAAGGATGATAAGTAATCAATCACTTGTAAACATAATCTATGATTGCATTTAATCAATTTCTTGTAATTTTAATTACACGTCATGATGTAATCATAAATAAGTTAATTATATGTTCAATAAATAAAAAAAAAAACATTAAATAAGTTATTTATTAAAATTGTGACTAATTAAATAAATCTGTAAAATAAAATATTAAACAATGTGAGTATTGCTATTATTAATTAGCATTTTATATTACATAACACAAGCATGTGACCCAACTAGTAAAAAAATTCTAAAACAGAATGGTAATCTGTAAGCATATTAATGAGTTAGGCCACAAGCTTAAATAGCATACCAGCTTTTTTTTTCTTTTTTAATTATTGTGAAAAACAAAATCTTTTTTGTCTCAAATATCACTGAATTCATTAAAAATACTAAAAACTAAGTCATATTATTAGATTTATTCATAGTAGCTTGTAATTTATAAACAAAATATTAACAACTTAGTTCCTTCAATTTTAGATAAATAAATCAAAAAAATATACATATAAAAATATTAATTTCAATACAATAAATAGTTAAAACTAAGTTGAACAGATAGAAAAAAAAATTATTGTAATATTAAAAAAAAAGACCAATTAAAAATGCAAAAAAGGTTGACTTTTTGCTATAAAAATGAATAAAGCAAAACAAGGTAGGGGGAGAAGCACAAAGAATAATGCATAAACAGACATACAATTTCGTGCAGAATCAATATCAAAATGAAGAATGAAAGAGGGAAACAAGGAGATGTAGAAGAATTATAAACAAGTTACAAGAAGGAAAATAGTAGGCTAATCCATAGGGGAAAGGAACAAGCTTTATCTTGATTGTCAGATAAAACAATGATGAGAAACAGATGAGATGAAACCCCAGGTGTTTCAAGAAGTAGAAATTTAAAGAAAATAGATATGTAAAACAATTGGAAAGGATGGGGTACTATAAAAGTCATTAAATAAATTTATCAGAATTTTTTAAATTATAAAAGATTACCAGAATTATAGAACAGAGTTTAATTTTTAGATTCTACAGCATGAAATCTAGGTTATATTTAATAAAATATAAAACTTAATATTATTACAAAAATACTGTTTGTGAAATAACAATAGAAGAAATTTTTTTACCATTTTTACAAGTTCTTCTTTAATTAGCCTAATAAACTCAGCCCTGGCTTTAGATACAGCTAATTCATTTGTACTTTCAATAGCTAAATACAGCTTACGATCCCCTTCCTTTGGTTCTTTTCCATTTGGATAATAAGTTCCCCTAACTGTAATACCAGCTTCAGAGTATTCACTAATCTGGGCAAGAGCTTCCTAAAAGTCAAAATCAAATATTTAATAATAAGAATTGCTAACCATTAAAAATAAATATAATTTTTTCAATAAATAGTTTTGAAATAAATAATTAAAATGAATAAAGAATTAATTAATCCATTAAAATTTCTGCAAGAGCCAAAGCAAAGGGTTGACAGGATATTAAAGGCATTACATATTTCTGAGCCGTTTAATTTTACTCAATTCTTACATTTATATTCAATCATCAAAGCCTTTTCTAGCCATTAACCTTTTGACACAGATGGCCTACAATTGTCCCATATATATATTTGACACACTAATTATAAGCAAAAATATATCTTGGTATTTTTTTAGTTATAAAAAACAGTCTAATATTTACTAAAAAAAATGTGTTATATTGTCGGAATTATTTTTGTATTAAAATATAAAATCGAAAAAAATAGTAGTTTAAAAAAATTTTTTCATTTATATACAAAAATCAATAATTAATTATCAATAATTGATTTTGAAAATTAAAGAAAATTCAATGATGAATATCTGTTTTTTTAGATCTAAGTGAGGGCAAATTTGAAAAATTGTTTGGAAGATTTTACCTTGAATGTAGAAAAAGACCACAGTGTTTCATACTGCATTTCATAACCATAAATTATTAAAATGTTAAATATAATATATTTCACTTATTTTGACCTAAATAAATACAAAATAAAGAAAAAAGTTTGAAAAATATGCATATAGATGCTTCTTCATATAGATGCAAACAAGCAGAAATAAAATTCTAAAAACTTTATAAAACCTCTTATTAAAACTCATAACACATTAAACATAAAAATTAAAGCTCATTACAAGTTTGCCATATATTTGTAATGTTTATTTTTCACCATATAATTTCAAACTTGATGTTCCTTATTCAATAGATTGTTTTAATTTTTGATAAATCACCCAATAATGGATATCTGGCTTTACTGAAAGACTAATGCTTTCCCATCACTATTTAACAAAAATTTGATCATTAACTTACTTTAGATGTAACTTTCCACCTGGCTTGCTGGGGAAAGTCGTTAATTTCCAATTCTTCTTCGTACTTTCGGAAGGTCTCTACAGCAGGTTCATCTTCTTTATCCTCCTCGTCTGCTTTAGGTTGGTAGTTGAGTTTTGCATGTAGTTTCTCAGCTCTTTGCTCTGCCAGAGTTTTAGCTTGTAATGCAGGCTGGAAAATTCAAATAAAATATTAAATTTAAACAACTATTCTTTTCAACTGTATATTTTACCAGCTTTTTCTATGGTTTTAAGGACATTCACTGAACAGATTAAAATACTTTTAAAACAAGATGATTTGGAATCAACATTAGGTACCTTTTGAAAATAAAGGGAAAAAACTATGGAAAATTAATGATGATGCTGTGCATGCGTCTTAGATAAATTATAATTTTGATGGGATAAAGGTTCCAGCAAACTTCAAATTACTGTCATATATTTAGCTGTTAATCAGTAATAAATATAATAATAAAACTAAATAATAAAAAAAGTTTATTTCATATGTTAACTTAAAATTAACCATAATGAGTTCTCATTATGGTTTATATAAAGCATAAAACACTTATATAATTATAATTCACTCATTATAATTTTATGATTTTTTTTGGGGGGGGGGGGAAAGGTGTAATATAAGCTAATATAATATATTAGTTTAGCTGCAATAAATAAAGTTTCGTTGATCACATACTAAAGTTTCCAATATATAACAAATATAAAAACTTACAGATTTAAAACAAATTGCTAATGCAAGTCTGTTATAAGAGGGTTCCACCAATTACTTGTTTTAAATTATTATACTAGATTATTATGCTATTGTTAAAAACTTAAAAAATAAAATTTTTGGCTCAACACTACTCTCACAATATTGATTAATAGTGCGTGAAATAATGCTATTGTTTAGGACATAAAAATTAACACTTTTGAGCAAATAAACTCATAATACATTGAAAATACAAGTAATTCTGCAAATTTTTTATTTAGAAATTACATAAATGTGTAAAAACATTTAAACTTTAAAAAAACATCACACTTCAAATTAAATAAAAACTTACAACAAGCCAGCACACATTATAAATACATTAAATAATATTTTTGTTCGATTTAGTTCATTTTTATCTTAATCAGTATTTTATCCATTAAAATCAGTGTAAAATATTGAGAAAAATAATCACGAGTATTAATTAATAGCATAAATTATAAAGGCAATAAAAAAAACTATACATTGTATTGATCCTAAAATAAATATTACATTGAAACAAAAGATATTATTAAAATATATAAATTAATTTTTAAAAAGTTAAGACTGAAAATCAGGAAGACACACTTTCAAGCTTTAGAAGTAAAACATTTTAAGATAATTAAAAACTTACAGTTATGACGGGAGTAGCTCCTAAATGTCCCTTCAATACAGCTTCTGCAGCTTGCTGAGCTTCAGCTCCAATATTTCTTTGTAAACTAATACGAGAAGCCAACTTTTTAGCCAGTTCCAGTTTCTCAGCACTGGCAATTCCTCCAGCAAGACCTGTAGCACCAGTGGGCAATATCGTTATCTCCTGCACTCGTTTCTTAGGGGCAAGCAAGGTTTCGATTTCTTTATCTATGTCAGCTTCTGCATCTTCATCATCAGAGTCTTGCAAACCTAGAGCAGCTTTTTGGAATTTTTTCTTTTCATTTGCAAGCTGAGCTTCAGCTTCATCGAATTTAAAACCTTTCCCAGAGAAACCGCTACTACTTTTCACCTTTTTACCTTCCTTTATGAAAATAAGAAGAGAAAAACATTAGTGCCAACTCTTTTCTTTTTAAATGCATAAAAGATATACAGAAAAACACTGTAGTACAGCATATAAAAATCAATATGAAAAATATTGCAAAGAATTTATAAGGATACTATAACCAGTGTTAATACCAAATTAAATAGTGAAATGTTCGCAATGATGTCAAATTAAATTTTAGAGAAAATACACTTTTTATAAAATTATTTTACAGCTCCCAAAGCATTTCAACCAAAGAAATTGCCTGAACGCAATACATGAACTACAATTACACACAAAAAAAAATCTGTTTTCGGGGTGCTGTTTATAAAATATTTCAAAATATTGAGAGACAATAAAATATGTACATTACATTTTTTTTATTACTGCATTTTTTTTTTTTTTTTTTTTTTTTTTCATTTTAACTCTATAACTACACATAATGACATTTCACATTTCTTACGATCATTCATTTTTGCTATACCTTACTTTAAGAATAAATAAGAAAAGCAAAAATACCAATCAAAGCAATTTTGATTTCAGTAATTTAAGATAAAACTTATAAATAAATTAAAAAATAAGTCAAGCATCGTATAGTTCTACTAAAAAAGGAAAATTTAAGAAATCACATTTTTTACTAAACTAATGACTTAAAGTAATAATTCTGTCAATAATTAAAAAAAGAAATTTTAATAATTTAATTTAAAAGCAATTATAAAAAATATTTTCATCAAACTCTGTTTTATTACCTTTTAAATAAATAAACAGTTCAAATTGAGTTGCACATAATAAAAACTTATCTTCGTTTTGTTAGTATATGAAATAGTATTACCTAAATGTATGATTTTATATTGACAAGTTTAATTTCAATAAAGTTACATATTTAGGCTCTTCAAATTTGTAAAAACAAATTGCAAAGATAAAAAATATTATTAACAAAATAAAAATTTGCGAAACAAGCTTTAAAAAAGTAAAAACTTACTACATGTTTTTTTTCTTCATAACTTTCCTTTTATTTTTATAATTTATTCATTTATTTATTTTAGTTAAAAAGAAATGTAGACTTAAAATAATAAATAAATAAAGAGGATAGTGAAACATAGAATTTAAAAAACTTTGAGACAAAAGAGAATGTTTAAACTCTAATGATAAGAATATATTTCAATAATTATAAAAAGAAATAATTACACTGTTCTGCTAGAAAACAATTTTATAAAGAATGTAATTTTAGAACATCTCTATTACCAATTATAAAGCTTTAATAATTTATACTTTTCTTTAAAAAAGGTAAAAAATAAAAAATAGCATAAAATAATTTGAAATAGTTAAAATATTCAATTAAATGAAAGTTGAGACACTGCCGGTAATAATTAGAGTAGCAATAAAATTGCTTGTGTAAATTAAATAATTTTTAATTATTTTAGAGTAAACAAAAGTAAATTATAACAGAACAACATTCATCTCCTTAAAAAAATTTCATATTCCTAATCATATACAGTCGGACCTGTTTACCTCGAATCTCGCGGTAAAGGCGAAAAACTTGAGATAAAGAGGTTTCAAGTTATACAGGTACTTTAAAAATTAAATTTAATTAAGAAATTCAATTGAAGTGCTTCAATCGTTTTTAGAAGTTTGTAAATCAATTATACCACATATACCTATTTACATAAAAAAAATTTAACATACCTTTAACACTGAAAATAATCTTTTTAAAGATTTTTGACGTCTAACCTTCTTTGCTTAGTACGTTGTTTTGGGCATTTGTGCTCGATTATTAGAAATTCGAAAAACAGAGGTTTTGAAGGGAAAAAAATTTTGAGATAGACAAGGAAAATATATTGATTTTAGATAGTAAATATAAGGAATTATAGAAATTTTGAGATATAGAGGTTTTCAAGATAAAGAGGTTTGAGATAAACAGGTTCAACTGTAATTGTAATGGAGAGAAGAAAGACTATAGATTCAAAGTACTTACTGCAGCTTGTTTGAGACAATATTCATCCCATAATTTCTGAAGATCTGGAGGAACAGTTGCTTGTGAGAGCTCTAATGCCTTAATAATATCTCCAGCATGGCGGCCTTGTTCTGATGTAAAGAACGTGTAAGCGTAGCCTTTATTACCAGCACGGCCAGTGCGCCTTGAAAATACAATGTTTATATAATAAATAAAATAGGAAAAATTAATTCAGAAAATAAAATAGGAAACAATTAATTCAATAAATAAAATACACATTTCCTCTGGCATGAAATATATAAGTATACAGAAATATCTAAAGCATAAAAATTTTCTTAGTACTAGTTTAGATTGAAACAGCTATAGAACAGGAGATTCAACCAAGCACTTTCAAACCTAAGGACAACTTATTGCTTTAACCTTTTGACGCTAATTGGACACCAGTGTCCCTTTTATATACATTTTTTCTGATCCTTTACTTATAACCAAAAATATATTTTGGTATTATTTAACTATAATAAACAGTCTAATAGTTATGAAAAAAAGTATGTTAGATTATTTGAATTATATTTGTAAAATATAAAATTGCTATATAATTTGTAATAATAAAAATTACTATAATATAAATAATAGTTTGAAAACATTTTTGATTCATTATTTAATAATTTATCAATAATTGATTTTGTAAATTAAAAAAATTTGAATGATGTATAACTGCCTCTCTTAATTCTAAATAACTTCAAATAAGTGCAAATTTGAAAAACTATTTTTTGGAAGATTTCAGAAAAAGCCACCAGTGTTTCATGCTACATTTCATAACCATAAATTATTAAAATGATAAATGTGATATTTTTCGCTTGTTTTGAATTAAATTAATAAAAAACAATGAAAAAAGTATGGAATATATGTTAAATGAAAATTTGGTATCAAAGGGTACACACCCACACACCCAATGAATGAAAACATGTATATACATGTGTCTACTACACATTAATTAAATTTGAATACCATAATAGTTGACCCATTAATATACTGTATAAAAGAGCAAAAATAAATAAGTCAAATATAACATTGAATATAAAATAGTGCTGTCATGCTTCCTAAAATATAGATAGTTAAGTAAAAGATAATCTTATTGTAGTTTCCAAAAGATAACTTATGAACAGGCATCAGTTCACAGGCTTCATTATTCGTTCGAAAAAGATTTAATAAACAACATTTACATTTAATTATTCACAAAGTGCATTTTGAGGCATCTACAAGGCACAGCGAGGTACCTATTTAATTATTCTGACAGCTCTAAACTCAGTTAAAAACGACAAATCCGTTTTTATATATTTTTCTAGACATCAATATTGCATGGACTAGATAAAAACGACCGAAGAGCCACAAGTGGTCTGCGGACTAGATGAAAACGACCGAAGAGGCACAAGTGGTCTGCGGACTAGATGAAAACGACCGAAGAGCCACAAGTGGGCTGCAGACTACCTGTTGAGAAACATTGACACAGGACAATGATATTATACAATTTTAGAGCTTTGGAATAATTATTAGACCAGAAATTTTCATTTGTTTTTAAATTATTCAGATCAGGAATTTTGAAACAGCAACAACATCCTGTTTTTGAATACTTCTAAGATGTTGATAACTATAACTGGAATTCATGAATTTCTTTATTTTAGTCAGCAAACTTCCCACAATAGTCCTAACTTCTGATTTTTCTTGCAATAAAATTTGTTTCAGATTGAAGTTCAACATTTAAAAAGTCGCAACCATTAATTTACAGGTTCAAACAAATCTAAAATAAAGTAACTTTGATAAAATATTCTAAAATATACTGTTCGTGAAACAGGTAAAAGAAGAATATTGCTCGGCTATCTATATTATTCAAAAGGCTTGTAAGATTAAGGGGAAGAAATGCCGTTTAGAAAAAAAAAATAGGTAACAGTCAAAAGTACTATTTTGCAACCTGCCATTCACACGACTAGCAAAATCTTACAATTATGTGGCATCTTATTATTTTTTCTGCAATCCAAAGTAAAATCAGCCTTAAAATTTTTAGAAGAAATAAAATTGTTGAGATCGTTTTTTTACTTGTAGTCTACAAGAGGTATAATAAACTATTTCAATAATGAACCATAATTCTTTTTCCTCACCATTATACATAAATTTAACTGCTTTTAAATACTTGTTAAATTTCTTGTTACTTAAAATTTAAAAATAAATTATTCAAAATAAGAGTTTTTAATAACATTTTTTAGACGGTATGCTCATTATTTTAAAAACATGCGTAAACATTTATGAAAAATAGTTTTCTCAATTTACTATTTAATAAAGCATATTTTATTAATTAACGAAAATTAAAAAATCCTAGATTTAGCTTCAAAAATATGTAGATTTAAAGGAGAGTAGTTGAACCCTAGAAATGTTGCACTGTGGATCATCTTTTCAAAATGAAAAAAAAAAAGAATACATTTACATTAAAAAAAACTACAACAACTTATATTTTGAAAAAAATCATGAGTAAGCCTTGAAAATAGTCTATTACACTTTTTAAAAATTTTACTTTATGCGAAGTAAACATTAAACTGTTAACTCTGTCCCAAACTTAGAATATTAAATAAAATGAAATTCCTTACCCACATCTGTGAACATAATCTTCATAATGATTGGGACAATCATAATTCACTACCAAAATCAAATGCTTGACATCCAATCCTCGAGCTGCAACAGATGTGGCTATCTAAATATTTGAAAATAGAAATATCAATTATGCAATTAACAAATTGTTCAAAGTTCCAACCATGGAGCAATCGTTGAGATAATATATATATAAAGCTGACCAAATCTTCATAACTCTTTTTAGTCCTGTAACTGACGCTACTTTGGTAAATTTGAAAAAAAAATGTCCCTGACCATCACAATTCATGCATTGAATAACATGAGGAAAACAAATATTTCTGCAGGAAAACAACTTACAACTAACCCTAATCTTAGAGTGAGGTCAATGGTTAAAAAGTTAGAACTTTTACTATTTTATTTGTTAGTATTTAATTTAAGGCATTGAAAAAGGAAGTTCAGGCAAACCAAGAGTAAGGCATAAAGTTTCAAATACTGAAAATAAAATTTCAAAACATCAAAATGAAAACAAATTATGAGAGGATAACTTTGGATTACGACACGGAGAAGTTCTCTTCTAATAATTTGCAAGAATTTTAATATTTCCAATTTTTTCATCAATTGAAACTTTGTAACATACTCTAGGTTAACCTGAACTCACTTCTACATTTTAAATGAGTTAATAAAGTGAAACAGAATTTGTGATGAAAAGCTATGAAAGAATTTGATGGATAGAGTCCCCTTGCACTATGCTGAATTTCGGAACAAGCTGAGCCAAACCTTTGCACCCGAATGTTCGCTAAAAGAGCCTAATCGAAGAGAGACAGACAGAGGATAAGAGATTAAAAGACAAGATATAAAATACCTATTCATATAAAGAATATATAAGAGCCCATTCAGATGTTCTTGTTTAGCCCAAAATTAAGACCATGAGTACGGTTAGCAATAAATAATATGTCAATTACGAGCCACAGTCATGATATTCACGTTTGGCATGAAATTAAACAAACAGCCTGACTCGTGATATTCAAGTTTGGCCTAAAATTTTCATCATGAGTCAGACTCGTGAAAATAGTGCAAGGGGTTAATGAGCTTATTAAATGTGAACTTTAAAAAAAAATTATTACATTTTTTTTGTGAAGTACAAAAAAAAAAAAAAATTCTTCCATTAATATAATCAATAAGTATTTTTTTCACCCTTCTTTTTCAATATTTTGTGAAATATTCAAGAAAAAGTTTTAAATTATTAAGTAAACAGAATCCTACCATTTATAACTATTAATAAATAATTCATTTCTGTTGAAAAATGTGTTGAAATTTCTCTAGATGCTAGTCACAATGCATTACTTGGAGAAAATGTCAAAAATATTTTAAATTTTTAGCAAAAAGTTTCGGCTATCAATAAATTATAACGAATACACACAACCAATTCAAAAAATTTACCCAATGCCTAAATTTTATAATATTTTTTTTTAGAATATCAAATAATATAGAAAAACAAAAACAAATTGCAATGGAAAAAAAAATTCTTTTTAGAAAAAACAAAGATAAGCAAATAAATACCTTGATTAAATATTTTGATAGAAAAAAAATTATCAATCTTCTACTTACTAAAACACTAATTTTCCCAGCTTTGAAATCACATATTGTTGAGTCTCGATCAAACTGGTCTATACCACCATGCAGAGCCATACAATTGTAAGAGGCTTTAATGAGATCCTTTAACAACATATCAGCATTTTCTTGTTTATCTACAAACACAAGTGCACTTCCCTGCTCTTGATAGTATCCTAAAAGTTCTAAAAGTTTCAAAAATTTCCCATCCTCCTCTATAACCACAGCATGTTGCTCAACCTCTTTGCAAACGACGCTGCGACCACCCACTTGCACCTCAACTGGCTTCGTTAAAATGCGACGCGCCAATGCTTCCATTTGTCGAGGAAAGGTTGCTGAAAACAGAACCGTTTGTCTGTCGGGTCGAGTGCTGTCTACTATTCTCATAACCTAAAAGGAATAACAGCACATTAAAACTTCGAATCAAATAATATTTTGCTGTTCATAAAAATGCATTAGAAAAATCAATTTTAAAAAAATTGCATATTTCTGAACATAAGCCCAGATTTTTTGAAAAATTTTTGAAAGATAAAATAGATAAAAATCACTTATAGTCAGTGGAATTCGCTAACGTTACAAAATTCCATATGGACTCAAAAAATAATTATAAATTGACTGAGCATTGACAATAGATTGTTAAATATCATGATATGGTACAAAAAAATACACAACATAATAGTTGAAAATAAAATGCCTGAAAATAACATAACATGAATAGGAAATGAATATATTTTTTTAATCTGCATGCTCACCAACATTTGGTTAAGTGAATATAATACAAAAAAGTCACATCAAAGAAATAGACTTAAAAGGCTGGGGTAGTGCAAGAGGAAAGTTAAAAATGTTACCCACAAAGATAGCATGTCTTATTTTTTTATGTTGGCTTATATATGGGTTTTGAATTTTAGGTCAAAAAAAAAAAAAAACACTCAGTTTATGCACTGATATGCTGGCATTCCAAATTATACCATACATTTTTATTAAAAAAAATAATAGCTTTGCAATTAAAAAAGATTATATTGATACAGCATAATTTGAATTGCATGGATGGCCAACCTATAGCGGAGTTTTAACAATGGCACGCCAAGCCGTCTTGAAAATTCACAAAATATCACTTTTTTCAAATCCTTATAAACCTGCTCTGTACGAGACAGGATATATAACAGCACCAGAAACAACACTGCTGGTTTACAATATAATTATGAGGTAAGTCAGCCAAAAGCATAGTCGAAGGACATTGTAGGTTTAGGTCATAATTTATATATAAGAATGTTTTCCATTATGAATATAATAAAATCAAAATGTTATTTGACATGAACTGATATGCATTTAAGACACTTAATTTTGTTAGCAAATTTAAGAATTGAACCTAATACTAATATAGATGACTAGGTAAAAAAACATAGCAAGTTAGACTGTTTAACAATTACTGAATTAAATATGTCTAGTTACTTTATACATAACCTTTAAAAATGTTTACTAACAATAAAATCTAAGTTTTAGTTTTATTTAATTCATAATCATATTTTTTTAAATATCCACACTACAGTCTCACAAATTGAAAAAATGCACTATTTGCTTCAAAATGCTTCCAATTTTTTTTTTTTTTTTTCAATATTGTTGGAAAAGTTGGAAGTGGCATGGATGATTTTTTTCGACAGATAGTATAACTATTCTCAGAAATGTTGGCCCTCTATGGTTGAAAGAGTTAAACAATTGAGAGGTTTGTTTCAAGAAAGTAAGTACCAATTATTCACAAATTGTTGCCCAGAAAAGAAATAAAAAAAGTTTTACATAGGTTTTCCCACACTATTTACCTCATAGAATATTACTTTTTTTCCAGTTTATTGTTGCACAAATTGTAAATGAAATGCATTTTAAAAAATTTTGAAAGATTTGAACTTAACTAGTTCTAGCACTAAGCCTCTCAATTCAAAATGTACTAATATTTATTATGTATAATTATATTGTATTGGAAATTATATATTTATTAATACAAAAACATCTCATCTATTACCTATTAAAAAATAGGAAAAGTTTTAAATATTGGTGCCTCGCAAGTCCAACCAATTCCTCTTTTAAAAAATTCTGTTATAATAGTAAAAAAACATTTCACAGTATGTAAATTGAGGTTTGGAATATGTAAAAAAAAAAGAGTGTTAGATGAAGTAATATACTAAAGACTTATGAGAATCAAATTTGATATGTCGCTCAAACTTAATTTTTTTTTTTTCCTTTTCTTCTTTTTGAAAGGTGTTTGACAATGATTTACGCTGCCTGCCTCAAATTATCATTTCACAGCTATAGCTCGTAAGATAAGCCATAAAAAAATCTTTAATAAATAAAAAAGAGTATTGGCCGAATAAAAATAGATTCTAAAAGACTACTTAAAATCAATTTTTATGGACAACTCAAATTTAATTACATACTTATTTTTTATTCATTTTTTAGGGGACTCAACAGAATTTGATTTACACTGCCTTCCTTGATTTGTAAGTTGTTTTACACTATTGGTATGTAAGATAATAAAATAATAAAATAAGATAATAAAAAATTTTCATTAAAATAATGAATTAAAACTTTGGTATATAGTAAACACTACTTAGAACCAATATTTTTTTTTTGAAACTCTAATATTTTATTTTTTTTTTCATTATTCTTTTTGGAGAAGCTTAACAGGATTTTTTTTTACACTGCTTGTTTTTTTTAAATTTTATTTCACAACAATAGTTGGTAAATGTTATTTCACAACAATAGTATATAACAGGGATGAGAGTAGTCAGAAAGTAAAAAAGAGGAAATCCAAATATATATATATATATATAAATCGCACTTTTTTTTGTCAAATTTTTGTTTAATCTTGTAATCCATGTGATTATAAATCCCGATATGAGGCTTTTAAATCACGTGAATATGAAACTCCACATCGAACTTAAAAAATGCGAAAATACAAATCATGATGCGTAATTTTTAGATCAAGATGCATACTTTTAAAATCGCGCGATATTACAACCGCAAAAACGAATCACGACATTGGATTTTAAGCTCGCGTAGCTACATAGAGTTTTAAAAGCTCGTAAATACAAATCGCGATATTGGTTTTTTAAATCTCGTAAATAAGAATCGCAATGTACAATATTTAAATCGCCTGAATAAGAATCGCAACGTTCAACTTTTAAATCAGGTAAATACGAAAATCGATGTTTGATAATAAAATCGCGATTTTAAAAATGCAAAAATACAAAACACGATATTAGATTTTTAAATCTCGTAAATACGAGTCATAATGTACGATATTTAAAAAGCGTAAATAAGAATTGCAATGCGCAACTTTTAAATCAGGTAAATACGAAAATCGATGATTGATATTAAAATCGCGTGAATAAAAATCGAGATATTTGCAGAGTCTGGACTTGGGATTTCTAAAAGGCTTGTTTGAATTGTTTTTTGTTTACACAATAAATAAAAATTTACAAGATTAATTGAATGAGCAAATAAATATTTTCACCGCAAATCCACCTCTATTTTTTTTCGCTTTTTTTGTTTGCTTTCTCTCCAGAATACAAGAAGCAGCGACGTCTAAATTACGAAAATACGAGCTATCCCGCCGACGGATAAAAAATACGGAAAATCTTATTTTCTGTGCGTGAAATCGGAGAAAATAGCTAATATAAGTAAACATGCGGAAGGATTAGCAGCTAGGACGTAGTTTGAATTTTCTGTTTTTCTTTGAAAATCGTAAATAAATATAATAATTTGACTTCAACGACTGAATTTTTTTTAAAAAAAAAGGGATATTTATAAATAAATAAAAAATAAAAAAACGAAACTTTTAAAGAATCTGAGTTTTTGATAAAAAGGCTGAAATTCGAGAGACAAAAGCGAAAAAAATCTCATCCCTGTATAAAGGTCAACCAGTTTTATCCCAAGGAAATGATTTTTAGAGAAACTTCAGAGGGAGGAAAAGGGACTTCAATAATTTCCCTCCGCGGAAAATTAAATTCCTCATAAAATATTTTAACCTGTGCAAAAAAAAAATTTCAGCGGAATCTAGCGGGAAAAATGAAAAAATCTGAAAAAAAGCGGAAATCCGCGAATCCGCGGAAGAATCTCATCCCTGATATAAATTTTGTATATTTGAACAAATTTCTTAATTTCATTTACAAGAACAGGGATGCACAACCATTTTCAAGCAATGAGCCATAAAGACTACAAAATATAGTATTGGGGGCCCAACATTAACATAATGCTACAATAATAAAAATGAGGGGAATATTTAGATTTTGTTTCAAAGTAATATGACTAAGTTACAACACATGCATAAATAATCTTTTTCTGATGTGCAGATAATTAAATAAATTAAATTTAAAGAAATATACTTATCATATTACGAAGCAAATTATAAATTTATAGTCATAGAACAAAAAAGGTAGTTTAAATTTACATTCACTCTAAAAGTTAAGTTTCACTATTATTCAGAAAAAAAAATTGTTACTAATACAGTATCAGATTAATGGGCAAATTTCTTAGAATATTTTTTCTACACTTTACCATTGATTCAGCTTAAAGTTTTACATTACCTGAGGTTCAAAACCCATATCAAACATCCGATCTGCTTCATCCAAGACTATATATGTACAGCGTTTCAGATTCGTAACACGCCCTGCGGATAAATAAAACTTATTCAGTCAAAAATTCCATTTTAATACATATTTGTTAAATAAATATAATGAATTAAGAGCATACCACTGTTGGCCGCCAGCATATCAATCATGCGACCGGGAGTACAAACTATAACTTCAGCTCCTCTTTTCAACTCTGCTATTTGTTCCGAGATACCAGTGCCACCATACACACAAACTACTCTCAAGGAGAGAGCTTTGGCAAACTTTTTGCATTCCTTCGTGATTTGCATAGCTAATTCTCTTGTTGGGGTCATTATCACAGCTGGAAAAAAATTATACTTTTACGATAATAAATAATTAAACAGTTTTGAAAATGCAATCAACAGACAGAGAAAAACGTTTAATTTTAAAAAAAAATTTAATTAATTTTTATTTTAAAAAGTATAAAATTTTTAATATCCAACTTTAATTTAAAGCAAATTTTTACAGCAAAAGTTAGCAATTAAGACTTACGTAGGTAGTTTTATACTTATGTAAGTACAGTAGAGAACCGATTATCCGGAATGATGGGGACCATCGCGATTCCGGATAACTGATTTTTCCGGTTTTCTGAATCGCTACAAAATGCCGTTTTTTTTAATGTTTATAAAACGAAACTAAAAAATTATTTTGAAATAGTTTTAGAAATAATAAAAAATTATAAATAATAATACACTTAAGTTTAAATAAGGAAAGAAATTATGAAATAAAAATTATATACAGGCTTATATATCTTATTAATGTTATTTTTAACATTAATAACATATATAAGCTATTTGTGCTTATGTGAGATTCGTCTACAAACGGCTTTTGATCCGTCCTCTAAATCAGTAACTTAACTTAAGAGACTAATCAGTAACTAAACAGTAACTAAACTTAAGAGAGAAAAAATTGACCATCAAAAAGTGCCTGCCAATGATAAAATTTATATTGTTTCTTAACTAAAAATGTTTTTTAAAAATACAGATTATGAAAAACTTTAACACTTTTAATTTTAAAATTAAACTATTTAGAGAAAAAAATTACATCAGCATTTTCATATTGTGCTTTTTAACAAGAATGCTAATTATTGTGTAAGCTTATGCTCAAACAAAAATTTGACATGAACTACTAAAAATATATATAGAAAAAGCAAATATACAAAAAATAAATATATGTTAACCAATACTAAATCATTCAGAGATACAAATGATGTCAGCATTTTCATATTGTGCTTTTTAACAAAAATGCTAATTATTGTGCAAGCTTTTGATCAAACAAACAAAAAATATGTATACATAAATTAATAAAAATTAATAACCTTAAATTAAAATTTTAAAAAAAATTAAGTAATTTTGAAAAATTTTATTTATGTTAAAACTTCATATTTTTATTCTGAAAAATAAATTATATTAAAAATTTTATCAACTAACTTAAAAAACTTCATATTTTATTAATAATTATGGATATAATTACCAGGATATGTGCAGAAATATTCAATAGCTTTGAAAATTAAAGAAATTATCTCAAAAAAATTATCAAATCAATTTTTTTCATTTAAAAAGTTTTAAAGAATTAGATTATAAAGTATTCCAAACCTTTTATTCCTAAAATTATAAGCATCCATATTCACTAACTAAGGTTACTGTCAGAGCATCTTTAGATATGAGATTTGTCCCCCCGATTTTATTTTTAAAAAAAAAGGAAAATGAAAAAAAAAAAGAATTATTTATTTAAATGCGAAATTTATAGAAAGAAAATTTGCAGCCATATTATGAAAAATTATTAAAACTATTAACATAAATAAATATATAAAAGATCATTTAATCTTTAAATTATTAAGATAAAGATTGTAAAAAAATATTAATATGAGAGCAAAAAGTTTTTTAAAAAATTATTAATAAGAGAAGAACATTATAAAAAAAAAAAAAAAAAATTCACTTATTACCAATAGGGCCATCTTCAGACTCTAATGTAGGTTGATCTAAAATATGACGAAACATTGGTAACAAGAAGGCTAATGTTTTACCAGAACCTGTTTTTGCAATCCCAATCATATCTCTACCAGACATGACACATGGTATAGCTTGGGCTTGAATTGGAGTCGGTTTCTCATAGTTATGTCTATAAATAAAATAAATTATATAACCTTCAATAAGCATAGGAATTTACAGTTCGTTCACTGTGAGTTGGCACTTGGCTCTACCTCCTCAGGCGCTAAGTTCATTTCAGCGGAGGAGTAAGAGAAACATTTCCGTGCTTGAAATTGAGGCTAACCTTAACGTGCGGCAAACACAAACAGTGAATTCTTTTTCAGTCACTTACTTCGCTTTGTCATCTGCTATTAAACTTTTCACTAGCTAATTAAATATACTATAAATTTAAAATCCGCTGTTTTACAGCAAAATGTCTCAAAAAAAGACAAACTATAAAGATTGCCAAATAGCTACCTTCCTTGTTCAGGATTGTTCACATCCTTCTCCCAAAAATAGTATCGTTGGATACCACACGATGAAGGCGGAGTCAAGTGCCAACTCCTGGTAAACAATCTATAGCTACATTCACTAGTACTGATAAAAAAAAATTTAAAAAAGTCTTACTTTTTTAGTACTTCCATAACTTTTTTACTCACACCACATTGAGCCCAATTTTTAATAGGTTTAGGACAACCTTTTCCTTTAACTTTGATTCCTTCCAGCTCATCTCTCAAGGTTTCAACTTCTGAAAATAATAAATATATACACATATATACATTAGTCTTATAATAAGAAAAAGGTATGTAGATACCAGAGCTCAAAAAGTCTATAAATTTGTAAATGACTTGCCGCACATGTTAAACTACAATTTACATGCCAGTATGAAACTTTTAAACGGCCAAACATTTTAACAAGAAATATTTACAGAGTAAAAGAAATAACCAAGTTTTCCAATGAATTTAAGAAAATAACCAATTTAAGAAGGAAAAAAAAAATCTAATATTAAACTTATCACTAAATAATCTTTGTAACTTTCTAGATAGACAAAGCAAAATTTCAAAAGAATATTAAGAGGAATTGAATTATAAAAGAAACTTTACATATTAAAAAAATAACTTGCTCTAAAATTGTAAAATTTTATAAAAAATTTGAACTGATCTCAAGTAAGAGTAAGTTTAATGTCATTTTTGTGTTTTGCTTTTGCAATAACATAATAATGGGGTCATACTTATTATTAATGGAATAAACTTGAGTAGGAAGATAAAAAAAAAGAATAAAGCAACTTAGGATCATAAATTTTTATTTTCAAAAATTTCAAAAGAATATTAAGAGGAATTGAATTATAAAAGAAACTTTACATATTAAAAAAATAACTTGCTCTAAAATTGTTAAATTTTATAAAAAATTTGAACTGATCTCAAGTAAGAGTATTGAGTTTGATGTCATTTTTGTGTTTTGCTTTCACAGTACATAATAATTGGGTCATACTTATTATTAATGAAAATAAACTTGAGTAGGGAGATAAAAAAGAATAAGCTAACTTAGGATGATAAATTTTTATTTCTATAATTGAATTCAGAAACATTTAGGTCATTTTAAAAATAATTTGGTTTGTTTGTTTTTTTTCCCTTGAACTTTGGTACTGTTTATCTGACCCATCCTGCATTTTTTGTCAATTTTCATCAAAATTTAAAGGATTATGTTTACAGGATAAAATTCAAAATCCTATAAATACAGGACAAAAAAAAATCAATATAAGCATAGTTGTTTTTCCAAAGAATTAAGCCGAGGTAAAGAATTAGCAAGAATTAAATGAAGATTAAAAAACTCTATCTCAATATTTGAAAGGCATTTGTGAGTATCTTGAATAACAGCACAAAATAGCCATATCACAGCTGTTAACAACCTGATCAACATGATGAAAATTACTAATACTACATCTGATTTGAACAAAATTAGGAATGATTGATAAACGCTTGCCATTATAAAAAAAACATAGAGCATAACCATAGAGAGTGATTAAGAAAAAGCGCACAGAGTAAACACAACTCTATAATGAGTTGGAATAAATCTTGGCCACAGTGGTTTGTTCTGTTTTTCATCTTTATTTTTAATTTAAGTTTTATTTTTTTATTTACTTTTACCCCCATTGGCTGAAGTGGTTTTTCTAGTTTCTTTTTTTACCTTTATTTTTCATAGACAAATTTATGTTTTATGTAATATTTCAGAAGCAATTTTGTTTCTTCTCAGTCATATCTGTCAAGTGTTGAGAATAGGCGTCTACGTTTGAGCGTTTGAACATGCCAACTTTTATTTTTGAAGCCAATGAAGTTTTTAATTAAGTAATATCTCACAGTTCAGATTCTTTGGATATTTACTTAATAATTTAAGCTTATTTACAACAAATTTATTTTTAAATGTAATCTATATTGCAAATTTGGAATTTTTAGAAAGCATAATTTACACTTATATCAGAATAGTTTTAGAACAGAGAGGAAAAATGAACAAACCTTCCATAGTCATTTTGGCTAACTCAGGCACTTCGACGTAAAAGTTTTTTCTGAATGGCTGGTAAGTTACATCTTCTTTGGTAACAGTTAACAATTTTTTAGCTTTATTCCCACCCTGAAGATTGGACATTGCATTCTGAAGTTCATCTGTTTCCTCTTCAGAGGAATACTGAAATAAAAAAGAAAGAATTTTAAAACAGTTGTTCCACAATTAACTGTAAGTCTCATTTCATTAACATAAAAAAGATAATGGTTTAAAACTATTTCTCAGTATTGTGCCTGCTTTTTTAATAGATAGAAAATTATATGATGGGATACTTCATTAACAAAAGGACAAAAAATCATTTGCTGTAATCAACATAAAATTTATAAAACTAATTTAATCCTTATTTTTTTTAAAAAAAAGATGGCTACTAATTTAATTTGGGCAAAAACAACTAGTTTCACCCTATGTTATTCAATAAACAAACCTATAGAATAAAAATTTTTACAATTAGCTCAATGGCAACAGTAAAATGAATTTACCTTTCTCAATTTCTCTGTTTAAGTCTCTATGATTAAGGCAATTATGAGTAGGTTACATAACAAAAGAAAATTAACATAACAATCAGCATTTAAAATATAATGATCCTATGCTAAATTAAACTAACTAAACTTTTAACAAAAAGTTAAAGTTAAAAAAAAAACATACATTTATATTTCAGCATAAAAATATTCAAACAATGTTTTGTGAAACCACTAAAGTGATTTTTCAAAGCATACCTCTAAGGCATCTTGGTCTTGCTCCATCAGCTCTCCTTTGGATTTTGCATCTTTCTTCTTCGCCATCCCAACAATCATTGTCACTCTTCCACCTGCTTTATCCTAAAGAAAGTATAGACTATGATTAAATATTTTAAAACATATAAGGGGTTTATGAAGTAATGTCAGTGTCTCAATCAAAAAACATCTATGAATCTGATTAGTACACGCATTAAAAAGTTTCAACATGCACTCTTCCTGAGTCGATACATTTATTGAAGCGAGGATTATAGGCATTGGAGGATTCGTTACAGAAAGTTCTTTGGAGCCTTTTACAGAATCAATGTGAAAACAGATTTTGATGTAAGTAATAATTAGACGGGTTAAACAACAAATTTAATTAAACAAAATAAGTACAAAAGTAACATCTCGGACACACCTTTCCTATGCCTAAAACAAAAGTTAACAGTTCTGGTACCTTTTTCCCTCTCAGGGAAAAAGTTTAATCATTCTCCCCTTCAATTAGAATTTTTGCTTTTGCTCTGAATCTCACTATGCGACTTTGTCAATTGTACTGAAATAATATTCTTTCATGAATACTAAAGAACAGAAATAAATATTAGTCTGTCAGAGTCACTTCAAGACTGTAAAACGCCTTTTGGTCCAAGAAGCGAGTCACAAATAAGTTTCCAACCAATCCAATTATCTAGATTATTGGGGTTATTGCCATTAAATGGACATTCTGATGATGTTCAGTCATACATTTCAAATTTTTGTTGAAGGAGTTCGTTGAAGGTATTCAAGTAAGAGCTTCAAGAACTCAGCTCTTCGGATTTTTAAAAAAATGCTTTGTGTTGATGCGTGCATGGTATTCTAATAATTAACATCATCTAGTGCCATCTAATAATTAACACACATAATTAACACCAAATACCAGCTTGAAGAGGAGACAAAAACAAGTCTTACAAAATGCCTATCCTTACTGTCCAGATGGTTGGAGATGATTGAATCACTAAGCATGCATTTCAAATGATTCCGTTCTGAGTATGCGGCAATGTGTATATTTGCATCTCAATAAAATCACTGACATTACTTTAAGGGAAAAAACCTTTATAATTAGAAAATCTAACATACTGTTGAAAAAAGTAGGCTCAGAATAATTATAAATTGTACAAAAACTTAAAGACTATTACCTCCCCATCTTCTTTTTTCAGATTAGCTGGTCTTAACTGTTTCACTTCTTCTTGTATACCCTAAAAAAATGAATAGTTAAATTGTTAATAATCCAAACTTTTGAAGAAGAACCACATAAAGATGTTTTACTAACTTAAGAGTTACATGTTCACACTTTAAAAAATATAGATAAATAAAGTGAATGAGGAAAATAGGAAGATCAATAAAACAAGTAAATGAGTCAGTTAAAAATATAATTTTCATTTTATTAAAATATAAGTAACTAAATTATTACCTGCATGAAAGCATCCAAAGGATCAACATCATCTTCAGGCACTTCCATTTTTTCTTGTTCCTCTTGTTTAATTTCTTTCTTTTCTGGTTTCTCATCACTTTCAGGTTTTTCAGTCTCTACAGGAGGAGGAGGAAGATCTTCATCATCATCATCTTCTAAAGTCCATTTCTTAACAGAAGGCAACACTATATTAGTAGTAGGGTTAGCAACACCGTCGGCAATCTCTTTCTTTTTACGTTCTGCTCTCCACTTCTCAATTCTTTCTCGCCGCTTTTGCATTTCCAATTCAAGCTGTTTATTTTGTGCCTCCTATTAAAAAACAATTTTTTAAACAATACTTTAAATTAAGAAAAAGTTGATTTTTGAGAATACGCTATTCTGTTGCTCAATAGAATTAGACTTTTCAGTCATCTTTTAAGTAACTAACTATTTTACAGCAAAAGATTATATGTTGAGCAAATTATATTTACAAGCTCATTTTATCAAATTTCTTACATAAAATATGCAGATTTTACCAACACTTTATAATAGCCTTAAAGATATTCATCGTAATAATATTTAATTTTTATTAACAAAACATATTGAGTAAAAAAAATAATTGTCTTAAACAGCATTTAAGACACTTTTGTCTTGAACAAACTTCACATTGTTAAAAGAAGTTGAGAATATAAATTTAATACCTTATCCAATAATTCAAATTTTAACTCGCCAAGATCTTCAACTTTCTCATCTTCTTTCCGTTTATCTTCTTTATCCTTCTTCGACGAGCGATCTCTGGAACTGCGTCGATCCCTTCTATCTCGACTACGGCTTCTTTCACGACGATCGCGTGATCGAGACCTTCTATCCCTGCCACGAGAACGTGAGCGGCGTCTACGATCCCTTTCCCTGTCTCTTGACCTACTTCTAGACCTGAAACAAAAAGCCATATTTTAAAAACTAATCATGCATAATTGTGGGTATTAATGTCCCTGGCCTACAAAGGGTTGTTGAGGAAATCCTTTACTTAAATTTAAAAACTTGAGGGACTTGGTGTGTCTTGTCTCGTGTGCTTTGTACGAAACCTAGGGTCAACTACACTCCCACAAGTTTTTACGTCTCTTCCAATTTGCATAGTGCTGGCAATCAATCATGCATATGATTAATTGAAAACAATTTTAAATTGCAAAAATGTAAAAAAATTTCATTTTTTCAAAAAATTTTGAAAATTTGGGCCTTTTTATTTTTTTGAGGAGAGTTGGCAGCTACAGTTTATATAATGAATATTAGTTACGAAAGTCCAATGCTAGAATAGCAGACAAAAAAAAATCACAAACATTCTTAAAATGCACTTTTGTAATGTGAGTTCTAGCACAAAACAATAGACAAAAAATGAAGATTAAATCAAAAAATCACAAACTGATATTTAGAAAAGAGAATATCGGCAACGCACTATAGAACTTTGGTAACGGAATGCATCAGTTCGCTAAAGATTTTAGCAATTTTGATATTTCTTTAACTTATAATAATTTTACAATTATTCAATATTTTTAGACAATTTATCTGAAAAAAGATAACGATATGACAATACAGACAAAGAAATAACAAAATCGCTCAGACGCATTTGTATTGCGTTTCTAGGATTGCTACTTGTTTAAAATTTTCTCATTAATCTAGATCTTAAAAAAATTTAATTTCGACTTAAAACTGCTAAATAGAGTAATAATAAAACTGCTATATTACAGTGCCTGAGAAAAAACTGTTTCACTAATTTGTTTGTTAGATTTTCACAATGCTTCTGGGGACCCACAAAATTTTTATAAATATCATGGAATCCCCGTACTAAAAATTTCAGAAACATTTGAACCTGTCTGGTATGGAGATTTAAACCTGAAGTGATAGTGATATTTATCATCATTATGTTATGAAGTAATTTATATAGAACTCTGATGCTCTTTTAATGAAACTACTCACATGTTTTTGTGTGTCGGTGGGAATCCTGACTTTGATTTTTTTATACATGTTGTGGATGGTTTTTATATTTTAGTTTCATTATCATAATACCAATATAGTTGCTTCATCATGCTAAAATTTCCTTTTATTTAAACATTGGTACCTGCTTTCTTATACAGGAAACATATATATACCTTCGACGCTCTCGTGAGCGGGAACGTCTGAATCTTTCGGGTGTTCTTGATCTTCTATCACGACTTCTAGGTCTTCGGTCCCTGCTTCGACTTCGCCTTCTGCGAACCCTGTCTAAACTACCAGAAGAACTACGAGACCTACTTCGAGATCGCCTGCGATATCTGCTGCAATAAAGAATAAATCGAACATTAAGCTTTTACCTATTATAAAAGTAATATTTTCTAAAAAATTAAACATAAGACCTAATGAAACTATCTTATGCACAACTGAAAACTTAAAATTAAACACGCATACCAGATATTGAGAAGTCATATAAGCTTTAGCTTAACAAAAAAAAAAATTTTTTAAATTTATGTGAACTGAATAACTAGTAACTGATGATTGCAGAAAGTAAATATTTTACCTGAATGATATTAAAAGTGCTAAATACCTGAAACCACTTGGTAGTATTTTAAAAACAAATTTATTAAAGTGTAGTGTATCCAATGCAAACGATGAAACTCTTCACTCGTTTTAAAAAATTATATCTTTCAATGTAAATTAATAAATTTTAAAAAATGCACACATTCTTTAATATAACTTTATTTGAGTAATTCTTTTACTCCTGAAAATTAATTATTCAGTTTGAGGGATTAATATAACATTTTTAAAAACTTTTTTATTTGATTTCCCAGTCAACTAATTCTCCAAAGTTTGTTTCAATAAAAAAGAACAGAATTAGATTTTGTTGATGTAGCTGAATATTTTTTTCTAGGTCACATCGTTATAACAAATTATTGAACAACGCTCTTTATTGTTGAGGTGTCCATTGATAAATTATAATATAAGTATTCCTCATCTTCTTGGGCACTACAGCCTATGACAAGCCAAGGCCGTCCCAATAAGTTTTAGCCATCTTGAACTATAATATAAGTGTTAGTAGACTATTAAAAATATTACACACATAACAGTTTATTTACGAATTCAACATTTATAAAATATAGAGACCGCTGTGATTGTGAAATCACAGTGGGATGCACCCTATTCAGAACTGGTAGCTGATGATCTAGACAAGGGTGCGCCCTCACAGCATAAATTGATAAATTCTTACCAACCACTAAAATTAACTTGGACAACAACAGATATTACTTTTTTTGTTACTTACTTCACATTATTTTATCAAAAGAATGAAAAAATCCTATTTTTTCTCAACTTTATTTTAGCATGAATTAAGATATTACGCTTAAAAGAGACATCATCCATATACACATTGTTACAAATTTTATAGGTGTTCATCAACTATTTAAAAAAAACTTTAAACCAAAAAGGTTCTAAAAAAGAATTACCGATAACCTAAACACACTCGAACTACAATTTCTCATCTGCGAGAAAGAGTTTTGTGGCTGTATGTAAAGTGTGTCCAGATCCTCAAATTCATAGTTATTTTGAATAAGCCTGAGAAAATACTAATGTTGACCTGAGATTGGACATAAGAGTTGACAGGTCTGATATTTACAAGTACATAAAAAGTTAAAGGTTTTTTAAAAAAAATTAGCCGTACTACATATCAGAATGAAATAATTTAGTCTTTTCAGATAATAAAAAAATATAGTATATCATTTCCTGCTAAAACCTAAATTTGGCAGTTGGATGTAGATTTTTCAGCATTTGTTAACTTTTCTATGGTATTTTAAAACTAATTTTTATAATCCTGAGTTTTTCCTGAAGCATAACAAACAGTTTTAAATGTAAACCAATAGTGAAATTAAGTCAAAATAACACTACTTTATGACACACTGGAATTGCACAATGGAATATTAGCAATGGACTAGGAAGCATCCCAGAGGATAATCTAAGGACATGTCATCTCAATTTTGATCATCTGTGGAAAGGGTGGCTCCCCTGCTTTAGTAATCCAACAACCTGTGCATAAAGTTTAACATTTTATGATAGATTAGTTTAACGGAGATCACTACAACACAAGTACATGATCCTATAATAGATAGATCAACAACCAATTCACTGACCACTGCAAGTGATGCTCAACTTTGGTGATCTACTAGAAACTATGTCTTACAATCTGCCTACTGTGGAACAAAGACTGAATATAACTCGTAAGTGCAAAAAATATATACAATTTTTCTTCAAATTATAATAATTTTAAACATATTAGTAAAATTGGTACTTATCCATTTTTCCAGTGCAAATGAAAAAAATAGAAAAATTCAACAAGCTTTTTTTTTCTCTTTTTTTAATAAATGAAAAATTTAAATAATAAAATAGCTGAATGTATTTGTGCAAGCTAAAAGATAAGTACTGTTTAACTTTAACAAAAGATTAAAATGTGTTCTATAACTTATTTGTAAAGCTTTTCTTTTCCTATATCGTATATGTTTTAAATTATCAAATGTGAAACTAATCATTGTAAAATTGCTTCAAAATTCAAGGATCCAGTTAAATATTGTTACATTAGATATTAAAAAAAATTATTTTAATAGAAAAAGCTAAAATTGAACATAGAAATAACTAGAAATAAACGTTAATATATACTGCAATAACACAAGAAAAAAAATGACTAAAGAGACATTTAAATGTAATCCTTTAATACTAATTTGTAGTCACAAAAGGAACAATTCTTCAAAAATTTAGAATAATTACGTCAATGAAAAATATGAATTTAAATCAACACCAACCTGTCTCTCGCCATTACTTTGAAAAATTAACAAATTTATGGATGTATAAGCAGCTATTACTTAGATACTACATGGAAACATTTTTGGAAAAATTTCTTTTTTTTTCTACTTAAATTTACTTTAACTTTTCTTTTAACACTAATTTAGTGTTGTTTACAAAAATTCATTCACTTTACTGGATACGGCTTTTCTTTTCACTTCGTTTCAAAAAAGCCACTACTTAACAACATATTTCTCTTTTTAGTAGCAATCAGTATTGTTTATAGAGGGCAGCAGCTTCCAAAATCTGAAGTTGAATCAAAACTAGTTTCCATGGTAACCCATGGATGTTATCGTTTTTATTATATTTCATAAATCGCATTTTCCTAACACATATGATTTCTTTTGAAGAATTTAACATACAGAAAGCAAAAATAAAAATGGAAGTCTTTGGATATTACTGTTCGAGACATATTTCAAAAGTCACGTTTTCGGACACAATACGGTGGTTTTCGAAGAATTTGTCGAACAGTGGTAAAAAATAAAGAAATAAAAAAGCGTACCATCCTGACTAACTTTCTATCTAATAATCGGATCTCCAAGATCTAGAACCCAATCTTAATGGCCGTAGGAGGTGATCTTAAATATGATAATATAGTGTCAACTATATTTTAAGTAGCGCAATGAGATACAAAAGCGTATTATCTCTGAATGAAAGTAGCTTTTTTCAACGGATTTGGATTTCTGGTCCCCGAAACATAGACGGTAGCCACATTATAAGAAATATGCTCCCAATAATTTGGTTAAGAGAGAGTTCCAAAGTTTTCAAGAAATTAATGTTAGTTTTACTTCTTGCGTATTTCGCCATATCTCGAGCACTTTTAAGGCCAATTGAAAACATTTTGCACACAATTTAAAAATTCCCTTATCTGAAAATTTATTTCATAGAAAAAAAATTTTTTGAACATTATTAAAAAATAGTCGGAAAAATTTTGCCTTGCAAGGTATACAAGTTTTTCATCATTTTGAAAAATTTAATTTTATTTAAGTCATATATTAAAAAGTCGATTGTTATTTTAGTGAATAAAATAATAAAAATTAATGAATAATTATAAAAAGATTTAATTTTACTCGGAATTGCTTTAGATAAACGAATTTTATAATTGTATGCTAAAATTTTTCAATTCGCTAATAAAATTCTCGAGATATAACAAAAAGTAAAGTCCGAACTTTCCTAGTTAATTTACGTCGCACTAGAGCTGCACGATGGGCTATTGGCGACCAAACTTTCCTAACCAAACTATAGAGACTATACTTACCAGATATCCCCTATATTTAGAGGGTAAGGAATCCAAATCCGTTTAAAAATAGGTAAGCAGATACTTGATTCGCAACTTGAAATGTCATCTGCGCAAATTAATTAGCTTATTCGAGGACACCTCCATTAAATTCCGATCATTAAATCTCAAGTTATTCAATTTTTTTTGGCACACTTTACACCTGTAATTTAATATCAAACCAGTTAAAAAAAATAGTGCGTGGAGTCCCTCTGCGCGGAAAAAGTTAAACTTCGCAACCTGCGACGTTAATTGTAGAAGAATCAGCAGTCGTAGAAGGATCACTAGTTCTATTCAACGACTCTTTTTCCTGCTCCGCTCGCTTCCGTGCTCTGTAATCACGGTAATATTGTGCATTTTTCCCTCGTGGACCTCTTGAACCAGTGGAAGTGCTTGTGGTTGCCTCATCGTCTCGCCCTGGAAAATGTATTTGTATTAATAATGTATGTGAATGCGTCATAATGTAATTTCAGAAGAGAAAACCTAACAATCAATTGATATTCACAAGAGACGTACCTTGACATAACCTTAAATCCGTCGCATTGTCCGTGGGATTGTTTTCACTCATTTTTTACAATTGTTATCCACTAAATTTGAAAATAAAAAATACTACCCTATTAAATTATATGTGTATCAAAACAAACTAAAAAAATATTTATAGAAAAACAATACTTTTATGACTTTTATTATTTTTATGCTAGTGAGAACCAAAACAATATGGAAATGAATGAGGGAAAAATGGATCCTACCACGTGAATTCCCGGCCAATAAAAACGTAGCGTTAAACGTTTAACGCAACCTTGTTAGAAGTCGCATAAGAAGTATAACTTCAAAAATTAATCCCGAATCGCAAAAAAAAACGTGCTAACTGCCCCTCCTAATATTGCACACATACACTCTAGATAGATAAACTATAATGTGGAAAAATAGAATTTTAAAATTTTCCTAAATTCCACGAGAACCTCCCACGGTTGGCCTGACGGCAAGGAGACTCTAACCCATAATCAGTCAGCACTGTTGTAGGTGCAAGCCGGATGCGGAATTCGTATCGACTGGGCTTCGAACCCGGTTCACCTCATTGGAAGGCGAACGTTCAATCGCATGAGCCATCGCGGCTCTCAGTGACTGATATGGGGATATGGATCTCTTACTTTTCCAGGGGGGATTCTGAGAAGCAACACGCCCTTAACAAGTCGGTTTTACGCACAAACAGCAGCGCTCACATTTTTATCAGTATTATTTTCTGACATTCCAAAAATCCTTTAAACTCCTTTTAGAGTTTGAGTCATGATGAATTAATATGCAAAGCTACGAGCAATTATATAAATTAATAAGTATATATCTACTTATTAAGAGAAAAAAGCCTAGGAGACTAATTTTGGTGGCCCAAGATAGGCCAAAATGGATGGGGTGATCAGAATTGAGAGATATATCAGTATATATATTCGGGTAAGTCGAATTATAAAACCCGGCAATTTTACGCAATTTAGGAAGGTCCACTTATACACCAGTAATAAAGTCAGACTTTCACTGCTCCTGAAATATCGATGAATTATTAACTATTAGAAAGATATGAAGAAATTTGTATTAAGCCGCCCTTTTCAAAATCAAATTTTTAACGTTTTATGAATAATTAATAATGGATTTTTCATAATTTCTTAACATAAAATATATTTTTTATACAAACACTAAATTAAATTTAAAAAAAAAAATAAAATAAAAAAAAAAAATAAAGATAATTCATTTAAGAGTAAGACAATGTAAAATTGAATGTAAATTTTTTACTGCGACCCAGTGTTGTAAAATATGTAATATAACATTTTACAAATGTTTATAATTAGAATTTATGTAATACAATAATGCAATCAATAAATTATTCAGGACAAAATTTTTGATATAAAAAGTTTATTTGGACAATTTACAGAGAGTTATAAGAAGCATAAAAGACAAGTTTCAAGAGTAGATTACACAGTGTCAAAAGAGAGTAGTAGTAGTTTAGAAGAATAGACAAAAGGATAAATTATGAGAGTCTACAGTTAAATAAATAGTAAACATTTATTTATTTATTACAACCTTAAGTCAATAAATTAACAAACATTTTGGGATATCAATACAATAAATTAATCACAGAAAAGAAGTTCTCTCAAAAGCAGGTGGCAAAAGAAAAAAAAAACATCAAAAATAATTCAGTGCATAAATTTTTCACGAATATGTTTTAAAATATCTTATGTACAGATTCAAATTATTATGAAACAATGAAAATTATACAAATGTCATATGAAAATATCAACACTGTATTTTCAGATGCTAATTATTAACAATTTCTGAACTTCATAATTTATGATACAACTGTAATATAAGCTTTATAAAAATACGAACTTAAGGACTGGATAATATCTATTTATAACAAATACATACTTAACTTAAATTCAAGGTTTAAAATTTAATAAAAAAGCAAAACTGATGAAAAGTATCAACTTAATTAAACTTCATATTTCATTACAAAAATGGTGCTTTAAAATTAACATTCCATTTTTAGAATGATGTTCTAAATTTTCTTCTAAGAACCATATTTAATATAATTTTGTAACACATATATTAATAGAGCGGCATATCATTAATTCATTTTTTTGTTCCGAATACTAACTTAATTATGTAATATATATAAGGAAATGCAAATTACTAATTAATATCTCAGAACGCTTTGAATTTGGCATTGTTTTTTTTATGTAAAAATATTATTTGAATCTTTAAATGTGAGATTTTTCCTAATAAAGCAATGTTATTATGTAATTATTTTAATTTACATCTTTTAATGCACAAAGATAAGAGCTTTATAAGACTAAGTAAACTCAAATTCTCAGAAAATAAATATTTTTTTTAAAAATATGGTTGTTTAAAAAAATGGAATTAGCTTTATGGAACATTCACAGTTTAACACATATTTAATCATAAATTAAGAATAGTGTATTTAATTATTTGCTCATAAAGTAATTGCATATAAAAAATCAGCTCCTTTAAAAAAAAAAAAATTTCTCGGGTAAAATTATATTTAAGGCATTTTTCTGTATAAATAGATTTTTTTTTTCAAGTAAACATTTTAATAACCATATTACAGAAGTACTTAGAAATCTTAAAGATTTTCTTTCTTGTTAGTTATTGCAATCTTTATTTAGGTATAAATAATATGCTCCTTAAGTAATTTTGTGTGATTAATTTTAAAATAATCCTATACTATGATTCAATGATATGCCAGTACTAATTTCTACAACTAGCTATTAAATAAGGCACAGATCACTCCTTACTATGTGAATAATTATTTATAAATAAATGTTAGTATATTTATGATATTTTGACACATTTAATTTTATTACATTTAAAGAGATTTTTTATTCACAGAAGGAAAATATATTTTTTTTTAAAAAAACGAACATTTTTCAAAAATATTTCTTTTTAATATTCATAGTTGATGGTAGAAATAAATTTTGAAACAGACTTAATATCTATTATGCCTCTTATAGAACAATTAATAAACTCTTTATGAAACAAAATAATGAAAAGAATCCTTCCATTTTATTATAAAAGTAAACTTACAATTTCTTTATTATTATTTACACACACATTACTGTATTCTGCAGATTTATTTTAATAAACTAAACTCTTAGTCTAAATTTTATTAATGTTTGGGTAGAAACCACCAAATAGTATAAAAATAATTTCATGAGAACAAACTATTTAGTCCTAATGTTATGAACATAGTGTCATAATCTATATTTATTAGCAATCAAATAATAAAAAGGGAAAAAATGTTTCATTTTTTAAAAATAAAAGGTATGTTTCATTGTATTAAAATTGCAAAATTTCACATTTTGGTCTAATCTGAGCAAATTAAAGAAAAGTGAAATGTTATGCAATTCTTTATTTTTACAATGAACAGTTGAAGTAGAACTCAATAAAAAAGAAACACAACAAAACAGCAGGATATGCTCTAACTAGTTTTTACTATTTTATAAAAACAAATACATACAACCATAGTGAAAAACAATTTATTTTTAAAGTTCACCACAAATAAATAACTAAAACAAGAACAATACAGAGGTAAGTGCAATGAGCTTTTTGGAAACCAATGAGATATAATTAATCTTCACCTCATAACAATGTTTAGTTATAAACAAGTATTTTTGAGACAATATTATACAAAACATATTGTAAAAGAATATTTAGTGAAAACTTATTTTAAAATATTGCTTTCGCAGAAAATTTTTTGAAGTAGTGTATAAAATTACTTTTAATACTGGCCAAATACCTAAGTTATAAAGGTTTAAAAAAAAAAAAAAAAAAGAAATACTGGATAAATTTTAACAAAATATCAAACATTTAAAGAGCATAAAAAAGATTTTAAGTCAAATTTTCGAAGAAAAAAATTTCATTTTTAAGGGAAAGGTTTTATTTTATATTATATAACTATACAACACTGATCAACTATGGAAAGTTGCAAAATTTCTGAAATCACAGTGTATGGAATATCTGTAAGTGTTTTTTGGAGTGAAAAAAGGTCCCAAGTGCATTTGTCAAAAAACAGTCAAGAAGTACCCTTATTAACTACTCTTTTGGCAGGTACATAAAACACCAAAAGAGTGAACACTATTAGGAGAACAATTTAAATGAGCATTATGGATTTGTAAAATTTGTCGACCGGATGTATAATCTTGCACGGGAATGTATTATATTTATTTCATATTATCAATGCATAAACTTTAAAGCTAATCTACTCAAATTCCTAAAGTGTTACTCAGATTGATCAAACACTCAGTTCTCAATTAGTTCACTCATGAAACACAAATTCCTGAAACTTGTTCCAAAAATTTTAAAATTACATATCTTTCTTTAAAAAATAAGAAGAAAAAAAAATGTAAATGAGAATTTTGAATTAATTTAATGCAAACAATTTTTTTTAAATTAATCTTTTAAATTGATTTTTACTCAGTATTATAACTATTCAAAAAAAAAAAAACTTTTTCAATTTTTTTAAAACTTGAATATTTTTATGTTCTAAGTATTCAAGCAAAGCTAAAATACAATCACCTCTGATAGTTCATATGTTTATGTAGAGTATCCAAAAATACTTTAATCTTAGAAAAATCCCATTTCAGTAAAAAACATAACATACACATACAATGCAATTACATCAAAAGACAATTGCACAAAATTCAATATATTTAAGCACTTTCTGAGCTCACAATAGAGAAAGCACTTAAATTTGCATAGTATTTATTTATAAAGAAATAGTGGAATGTAATGAAAATATTCACAAATGGACATGAGCAGGAATCATACCAAAATAAGCAGCAATAAAGTGCTAAGGATGTATTTTCAAGTATGCAAGTTAATTCATCTCATGTATACCTTTCCGGAAGAATACAACTAATAACTATTGTTATTTGAAATCAATATTATTTTTGTCCTCTTTCATTCCTTACGCAAAATTTTAATACTAAAAAAATTTTATTAAATCTGGCACAAATTTAAAAATTATATCACGTGTTAAGTATAAAAAAAATTACAAAGCAATAACTGTAAGAGAAGTGCGTGGAAAGAATATGGCAATATTTTAAAGTTAATGGGGCTACAACTGTTGAGTGCCGCATTTGTCACCAGTGGCTGACACTATAAAATATGATATGAAACCAAAAAAAGTACTTGTTTTCATCAATTATTAGAAAATTATTTAAAATCGACTTGTTATTTATTACAAATTAAATTCTTAGTCATTTCAATCTACTACTAGAGTGCTTTGCATTGTTATCTCAGAATATGAGTGCTTTTAAGCATAGTGGCCAGATATCCTTAAATATAGGCGTGCCTGTTAAGCATGAATTTAAAATATTTTTAAAAAAAAGGAAGTTGAAATTTGGGTTTACATTTTCCAATATTACATCCCTTATTAAACATGAGAATATAAATAAAATACACTAGCCCTTAGCACTTTATATACCACAATCTGTTACAAAATAAATAAAAATCCAAAAAATAGGATTGAAATTAAAAATGGACAAATTATCGACTATATACAGATAAATTAGGTGAATGAGTGGTTGCAATGGACAATAAGAGAGGCATGTCACTAATATCAACATTTAAAGCACTCGCAACTTTGGACTGTGGCAGTAACACCTTGCTGTTTCTGATGAAATCAGCTAGTGTTTGACTTCGAGTGTAAAGTTCTTGCAAGCGATCTTCAAGATAGATGATACACTAAAATATAGAATTATGGAAAATATAATCACATAACCAATGAAGATTTGAAAACAGTCATACATTTTTTATTGTTAGTAATGCAATACATATAAATGCACTCTACTGAAAAACATATACATTCAGGTATAATGTATTACATTATTTAATCAATGAGCTAAAATTAAACATCTGCAGGCACTAAATTGGAGTGAATAAGCAATAGGCAGAAGAATTGGAGGTGGATTTTCTACACCCAACTTAAATTGAAAAGAGTACTTACACACACTCCAAATAAAAAATAAAATTTAAAAAAAAAAAGAACAGTGCTACATACTATGTTTAATGGAAAAACTAAAGGGGGAAAAAAAGGTCAGGATAGCATGGTCTGTAGGGCGCTGGGCCCATGTTCGAGAGTTCGAACTCCACCGGCCGAAGACTCCCCGTGTAGTTGGTGACTGGTGCATGTTAAAATTAAGTCGAATCGCAAAGATCGCACCCACGATCCCTTCTAAGTGGTCACCCATTCGCTCACTGACCACTGCCAATGTTGCTCGACTTCAATGATTTTCTGGGAACTGTGTCTTACGATCAGTTCATTATAAACCCATAAAATTACAGATCACGGTACTTATTTTTAATATTTAATCTTTTCTATCAAATAGGACATTTATTTTCATAAAATCTCTCGTGAACCTAAATACCTAACGCAAAGTAGGATTATCGAGTACAATTATTTTCTTCTCTGCAGGAATCTTCCAACACAAGAAAGTAAAACATTAATTGGTTTCATTTTATATCATTTTTACGCATAAATAAAAAAATTAAGAATGATCTTAAAACTCTATTACACCTTTAATTTATGACCAAAAGCATCAAACTATTGAACTAAGAAAAGAAACTATTTTGTGTCAGTTTTAATTACCAAGGAATTGTAAACAGGGCTAATACTCACAGATAAGTTATAACTTTTGAAATGGAATGTGATTCTTAAATTTAACAAAACTTAGAATGTTTTTCCATAAATTTACAAAAAAAAAATTTTGTGTTTATTTCAGGTATTGAGGATTCCAATAAAATTTATAGTTAGATTACATTCATGAGTAAATAGTATTGTACCCCTTCCTTGTAACTGTATGTAAATTTAACATCTGTTATAGGTAGAATGAATTTGAATTTGTAAAAACCATTTAGTTCACATAATTCTTTTAATTTCCTTTTTTTTTCTTCAAGAGGCGTAATTAAAAGCTAAGGAATTTAACCTAAATTATAAGAACCATACATTGTGTTCAAAATATAACCATTATTTCTATAAATAGCAGTTTATTTACTTACATAGCAACAATGTTAACCCAGGAAGGAATAGTTTGCACAATTAAAAAAAAAAAAAAACCTAATTTAAAATTCAAAGATTTAATTAAAGAATATAATTATGAATCAAAAATTTTAAAGATTAATCATTATAAATTGCTAAGATGATTTGTTGTTCTGTAACAAATTCTTATTAAAATCAGGATTTAAAAAAAAAAAAAAACGCTTCACGAATATCATATTTAAGTAACATATTATGAAATAAAAGCCTTTTGTGGGGTGTGTTGTTATCGACCATGTCAACCTTCATCTATGAAAAGGTACCCCAACATAGAATCGAGTTAAAATGTCGTATATACTGGTGAATTGCAGTTGTAATTTTGTAGTGGTAGAAATGCTACAGTACTCCCACCACCAGAATTATAGCTGTGATAGAATTCGATGCACGGATACAACTAGTTGATTTATTGCTGTTTTGTGAGCAGCCAGGAGAGCTGTACTAAGATCACCGTACTTTCTGAGTGCTGAATGTGAGAGGCGTATTAACTTCACGGTCGCAGCCGTTTCTGTGTTGCCATTAGCAGTCGAGTGTATGCAAGCCGACGTTGGGCATGATCGAGACGAGACTGAGTAGCAACAGTGCGAGGAGGTGCATAATGGCGCAGTCACAAGTAACAAGTCAACTGTTCAATGTGGACCATCCGTCGAAGTAGGCGTTACTGTCAAGATAGGCGTGTTCATATCGAAGTAGGCGTTACTGCCAAGGTAGGCGTGTTCACATCACGTCCGAGTCACCAATGTGGGGAGTGTAGTTATCGATCATGTCAATCTTCATCTATGAAAAGGTACCCCGACATAGAATCGAGTTAACATGTCGTATATACTGGTGAATTACAGTTGTAATTTTGTAGTGGTAGAAACGCTACACTTTTTACAAAACTGATTGTCATAATATACAGAATTTAAGTAATAGAAATACATACCGATTCAGCTGGTATCTTAAGCTCACACATGTTCAAGATAGCATCACATATCTCACTCACAAGCGATGACATAATAACTGTTGATTCATTATACTCTAATTTACCTCCTCCCATAGCAGCGTTACTTGACAATAGGTTTACTTTCCTGAATGAAATAGTAAGAAAACCAGTTAACTTTAAAAGTAATAAATTCCCAATATGGAATTGATATTAGAATTGATATACATGATATTTTTTTACTATTAACAGTAAAATAAGTTCTCAGTTATTTACCATTTATCTGTATCAGCAATTATACACACAGATTCAGAAACTGGCTCCCCAAAAATATCAACCTAAAAAGAATAAAAACATTACATATCACTCTAATATTTCAATACATTCTAAAATGTTATTTTTTTTTAGCTATACAGCAGAGCGCCAATTATCCACACGCCGATTTACCAGATTGTCTAATTATCAGAATCGTTCAAGGACCAAGTGTTTTTCCCCACCTTCTCCAAAATAATCCTTTTTTACGAAAATATTTCTATATTTTCAGGATATCTTAAAAAAGAGAATAATGGTATCATTTGTCCATTGGTGACCTTGAAAGGAACCTCTCATTCATTCTTTCACATCAATGTGGGGGGCAACTGACAAGTAGTTTCTAGTAAAAGAACAGATTTCTTCTTTTTCGAAAAATTAAAAAGAGAAAGTAAAACCTTGTTTTGAAATGTTGCCTCTCAGTCTTAAAATATTTTTGTCAGTCAATTTTGTAAAAAAAAAATTTTTTAAAAACTTAAATTCTTTTAAAGATGCCATTTTTAGTATGCTATAACAGGCACTACTATAATTCCCAATAACAAGCCTGTAAAAAGTGTGAAGAGAAGTTACTTAACAACACTATCAAAGTTATATTTTAAAGTTGTTCAATTACATGGATTTTTCATTATCCAGATTGGCTTTGGTACCAATTAGTTTGGATAATCGGTGCTCTACCTACCGTATAAATTTCAAACTACTAATAGTTTTAAATGCAAAATTTATATACAATAACAGTAGAGGTCGAGCATTCTATTAAAAATAAGATATGTTGTATTTAAAATTTTTACAATTTGTTTATTCAAATTTTCGGAGCAATACATAAGAAAGGACCAATTTTGTAAAATGTAAAAAAGCTTAATTATTTACATGGCTGAATCGTCTTAGATCTTCTTTGACTTCTTCTTCCTTCAATTGCCCATTCAGGCCTTGCAGACAAAAGTCTGCTAAGTAATGATCAGACACTCCTGCCATCAGAGACCATCCAAAGCTCTTGTATGGTGATGAATCGACAATCTCCCCCAAGTGTTTCAACCTGGAAAAAATTTCAAATTTGTTGAATAATGACATAATTGAATTTGACAAGACAAGCATTAAAAAGAGACTAAAAATGTGTAAAACGTAACTTAATCAAACTAACATTTTTTTTAATAAAATATTTTAAACATTAGTACTGTAACAGCACAATGACTAAAGCACGGAGCTGCATTATAGCGGGCAGAGGCTCGATCCTTGACGCCTGCGAGAAGTTAGCCTAGCTTCAGATTGTAGGGTATCAACTTGCCTGGGAAGTACATGCAGCTGATGCACAATTTTGACCACATTTTCACCATCACAATACTCAGTATAATTAACTCCCAGGACTCCTTGGTCATAACAGGCTATAGCTGGTATGATATACTTTTATATTACTTTATTCGAAACATCAAATCAATACATAAATAGATAATAATATAAAAAAATTCATGCAAATTGATACATAATTGCTATTTAATTATATGTTAGAAGTCACATGAATTTATTAAAGAAAAAATTATAGTTTTCAGCAACAGAAGAAATATTTTCCACTTTTAATTTTTCTATATTAATTAACTTTGAGAGATTTTATCTTCAAGGAATTTTCAAATAAGACTCAGGAAATTTTAATGTACTGCAAGGATTATTTCTGCTTTTACATTACTAAAAAGGAAACGCTTTTTTTCATTAATATAATTAAAATTTACCAAAAAAAAAAAAATTTAAGTCCTTCAATTGTAATAAATCTATCTATTATTTTAAAATTAGAATTTTATGGAGGAAAAAATAACAAAAAAGCATAAACTTTAATAGAAAATAATAGGAGAAAAACTTTTTTTTATCATTAAAAATACTTATAAACTTCAATTTTTAACTTTATATCTAAAATAGTTAACAAAAAACTAAGAAATTTGTTAATGGAGGGATGATATTAAACGTTTATTTATTTTTGTTATGTTGTCTTTTGCATCATGAAATTGCCCAAAAGGTTAGTAAAAAGCATTTCTGTAAGAATTCGTAGAGAGCCGAGTCAGGAGGGTCAAAGAGGTTAAGGCTCCACAATTTCGTGACCAACGGCATGATTGTCACTGATCTGAAGCTGGGTGGTTTTCAAGCCCCCACTAGGGGTCGTACCCCAGTTCTTTGTAATGACAGTTCAGTGCCTTAACCACTAAGTTGTCGTGGTTTGCCCAAAAGGTTAGTATTTAACCTTAAACTACTTGCAATGCATTGTTTAAACTATGAATAATATTTACACAACCAATTCTTAAGTGTTATTTTTTATGGTTTTGATGACAACGGTTTTATTCATGGTTAAAAACCATCACATAATGGCACATATCAAAAACTTGCTCACCTTAACAATAGTAAAGAATTCATCAATTCAAGCTTTTGACTTAAAAATTACTTACACAACCACAGTAATGAGTGAATTTGTATAAAACCAAATTTAAGGTTTAGTAGGAACAATTAGCTTAGCAAAAGTATAACACTAAATTAACAAAATTATAGTAAAACATAAAACAAAATATAAAATTCTGTTAACCTTAGTCTGGAAAGATATTATTTGTTTACTTACCCAGGCATTGGTTTTTCTTGACAACCTTCGGGACGCCAATTATCTAACCTTCTCAGCATTTCTGACAAATGTGCAGGTTCTCTGCTAGGACTGTGTGGCTCTTCCATGCTGTGATAACCTTCTTCAATAGATTCACACTCTCGAACTTTTGAAGAATCTCCCAGAATAAAACACTGAGTCTGTTCGCATTCATTTTGATTACCATAGCATGGACAGTCTTTACAACAGCAACAAGACCTGGCTTTGGTTGAAGACTGACACAGATCTGCAGAAGCCTTTGTCAAACAGTTTTTCACAGCTCCATCAACGCACGTTACATTTACTAAAGGATTGTTCTCCTTCCCTTCTCTAATACTAGACAAGACAGCACCCAGAGTACTGCCAACACTATCTTGGCAACAGTTTGGGTGCTGTTCTTGAAGTGCTAGTCTTTTGGAACACGTTGCTAAACTCTCCACTTTCTCTTCCAAGCTCATGTAACCAAGGCTGTCGAATTCAGAACGTTTTGAGTTTGTGTGAAATGTTTCAGAATTGGTAGGAACTAAAAGGGTGGCTTCGGGCCTAATACTAGAACAATCTAATGAATGTTCTGAAGTCCGTTCTTCGGTCGGTGTGATTGTTAATTCACATGTGTCCTTCGAGGAATTAGAGGCACATTCAACTAGGGGATCATAAAATGCGGCAGTAGAATGAGGTATACAAGAATTTTGCGGAAGACACTTCTTGCAGGTATGAGATTGGAAACTATGAAGATCAACAGGTGTGTTGGAGTTGCTTTCATTAGTCCTTTTCACTACATTAATAGGAGAACGTTCCAACTCTTCCAAACACCTGTACAAAAAAAAAAAAAAAAATATATTTAAAATGAAATAAAGTATTTAAGGAACTGTGAAATCTGTATAGCTAGTTTAAAACTGTTCTAACATATTATTGCGTTGTTTTCAATCTAATTCACTTTCTCTTTTACAATTTCTTTAACACAACTCCTCAACTAAATTATTTCCAGAACACCATATTCCATCTAAAAATTATTATCTACAATCCAATACAAAAATACACTTTAACTTACAAACTTAATTTACTTCGCAAATATTGTGCAACTTTAAAAATTATTAGAAATTGTATAATAACATGTCCGCATTCTTTTGACTTTTTTAAATGTTAAATAGTTTTACTGTAATTAGTTTTTTTTTAACAATTTTAGTTTAAAATAAATACTTAGATACTTTAAACAAGGCTCCGACTCTACCTTTCAAACAAAAATAAAAATTTATAAGGACATTATAACAAAATATAATGAAAACATTACTTCCAACTTTAATGCAAGAAATTTACAGGAATTGAAATGATTTTACAGTTTAATTAAACTAAGTTAAAAAAAATCAATACTTAAGTCTACTTTTTTTTAAATTAAAAAAAAAAGCTATACAAAAAGTTATGCTATGAAAAAATTTCAATGTCCAAACCCAGTCCAAATTTTAAGATGTCTACCTTGTTCTCCATTCCTAGCTAATTTTCAGTCCTACAAATTTAGTTTAAAAAAAGAAAATAAGCATTTCTTAAAATCTGTGGGAACCCTGTTAAATTTATTTAAATAGTTTACAGTAAAATTTTAATCCAATGGAACATCTCATATCCAGAATCGTCAGGATTTCGGCAAATCCGGAAAATAGATTTTTCCAAATAATAGGTCATAATAGTCATAATAGATAAACAAACATCAAAACTTCTTTATTCAATAAAAAATGACAAATGGACGATAATTATTAACATCAATTTCAATTAACAATGCTATTTTTGAAGCTTTTGTTACAGATTTCCACATGGTTTTTAAAATCTCAATATTTTAATATGCCATTATAACATACCGCGAATTTCGAATCATGCATTTCAGTTAATTATAATTTCCCAATCCACTCAATTAGCGATTATTCCAGAGTGGATGCGCGTGGTTTTGTCAATTGTTTTTTCAGTAGTTATTAGAACCGATTTTCACTTGGCTTTCAAAATCTCAATGTTTTAAAACAATTTTATTTTGTTCGGCAAACTTGGAACCGCATCACCCGCAATTCCATGTGGATTTACGATAGCATTTTTGTCAGTTATTGATGTGGATTTTTTTAGCTTTTTGATGCTACATTCTTATGCACGGGAAATTTTGAATTGTGCATCTGGAGAATTACTTTTTGACACATTCGACTTGTGTCGATTTTATTGTCCAGTGTCGATTGCATTTTCACCAGTTTTGGATTTCCACAAAGTTTAAAAAAAATTTGATTTCATTTTTACTATAATATAATTAAGCAAATTCCGAAATGAGCTTTGAAACTATCACTTTATAACCCGCTTAAATCGTGTAAATTTAATCTCAAATCCAAAATTTTTTTCAAAATATAAACTTTTTGCGTACTCTGAAATTGAGAGCATCATTCTTCACAGTAATAATAGTATTATGCAAGAATTTTTTCACACAGTAGTGAAATTCTTTTTTTTTTCCGTATTTTAGTGGGAATCAGATTTAAATCGGAAATCAGCTAAAACCCATAAAGAAGTGGAAAAGCAGAGGATTCTCATTCCTGCATACTTTTTTTAATAGGTCAAAAAAAAAAGTTTTTTTTGAAAAGGGAAGTTTTGTTTAATTTGAGTGTTACAAAAATGTATGGAAAAAGAGACCCTTTCGTAAACAGGGGTCCGGATATGTGACTTTATACTGTAAAATATTAAATACTAGTTAGGCTAAATTAAAAATAATCACATTAATTAGTTCACTACTTGTTAAGCAGTTTACATGTTGCATAATATTTAACAGAGTTAAATTATAAATGGATATTAAAATAATTACAGAACTACTCACTTAGCACCAAGAGTTTCTCTATCTTCTGTCAAATCATCTGATTTGTCATATTCTTGCTGACATATATCACTACACCTGATGAAGTAACTAAGAATTCTAAGAAACCTAAGAATGACTTCCTTTTTTTGACCTTTCACAATGGTTTTCGTCAGCTTGGGAGGAATGCCTAACCCACCATAGAGATCACTAGAAAAAAAAAGCAATTAAAGGCACTGTAAAGGCAGTTTATTCATTAATATTAGATCAGTACAAAAGAAAAAAATGAAACTTATTAATCTAATTAACTAAGTTTAAAAAAAAAAATTGTGTTCTGAAAATGCTAGGAATCATTGACTTGATGAAAAAGGATTTAATATTTTCTATTTGGCTTCTTTCTAATATTTTTTAAAACTGAATAAAGTAAAAATGTAGCTAAGCATTCACACATTCTTTTAAAACACTCAAGCTTCAAGATTATTTTTGACAAAATAAAAGTGCAATCCATGTATGTTTTGCAGAAAGATAGAACACAAAATAAAAGTGCAATCCATGTAAGTTTTGCAGAAAGATAGAATAACTATGGCAAATGAACATTTATAGTCTCAAAAAAATATAGGGGAGGGGGCAATTTAAACAAATTGCAATTATAGAAGTTTTAAAAAACATAAAAAACTTCATTTCAAAAAGTTTTTGGATTTATTATTAAACAGAAAAAATTTAAAAATATATGCACGTTTTACAAATAAAACTTATTTTAGAACACTCTCATACACAAATGGTAGAAAAAAGCGTATATTTACCTTAACTGCATCCAAAGAGGATTATAAGGCCTAGACTTTGCAATTAAATCAACCTAAAAGAAATATCCACTCAGAATCACTTCCACAAAATAATTTTAAAATATTAAGCAATATTTATTACACATATAATTTCAAATTTTCAATTATCTAGACCTCAATATTAGTTTTAATATTTAAAGTCAAATACTTAGAAATAACTCATAATATTTAGAAAATCTTAAAACAATGTCTACTACAACTGAGAGGTAAAAATATTTAACAAATTGTTGGCAATAGTAATAAATATCTATTATGTTATATTTACATTAAAACTAGTTATGAATTAAAATAAATAATTTTTTCATTTAAAGAATATTTTTTACAATATATTTACATTAATAAAAAAATATAATTGTTTTAATAGACAGGCCCTTCAACAATAACCATATATATTTAAGGAAATGAAAACAATTTTTATCTAGATAAAGATTGAATACAACAGTTAGGTGATTGCTTAAAGGCAATTTTTGGAGTCTCAGTTTTACACATACCATGCACAATGAAAAATTGTAATTAAAATTACTTTGGCCAATTGATATTTTATTCTTTCTTTCTATATCAAAATATGTTGGCAGATTTAATCAACATGGATGATCTAAATGTATTCTCAAAGAAATATCTAAATAGTACAGTACTGTTCATAAATAGTGCAAAAAAAAAAAAAAAAAAAAAAAGAGAGAACATTTTTATCCCTTCCCCTGTAGTAGTTGGGAGGAAAAGTGAAAACCTGTTTCAAAAACTTTTCCTGTGCCCCTAAATGTTGCTTTTTTTGTTTATATACAGGGACTGCACCAAGCCTTGTGGGGACCAGTTTACAATATGTTTATCGAAGCTAGCCTTCTTCCCCTATATGTATCCTTCGGTTTAAAGCATGGTTAAAATAAAAATCAGCAATATTTGGAAAATTTATTTCATAGAATAATGCTTTTTTTTTTTTTTTTTTAATAATTTGAGCGGAAATTAGTTGGCATTTAGAATAAATCTCATACAAAATACTTCTTACATATTTTCAAATACAATTTAACAATTACTTACCCAGCAAGGAATATGTTTATGACTGGACTGGACAGGCTGGATTTTAGAATCTGTTGGAATAACAGAAGGTACCCAAGCAAGATGATGAGTGAGGACAGCAGTTAACAAAGTACTTACAAAACTAAAATTAAATAAAATATTGTGAACATATTTATATTAAATCATTTTAGACTTCTAAATACTCAGAGCTATTGTGAACTTACAAGTTAGTTTCTTTTTTGTCATATGACTTGAGTAAATCAGCAAACTTAGCCAGAAACGTGTAACTCAAATGGCGATGATTGGGTGAGGATATAATGGTCAACCATTCTGGGTTTACTAACCTGGGGGCTGCATACAAATCACAGAGGGATTTCTGAAATCTTTTTGAGCCCTAAAAATGAAATATTTACTTTAATTTCTAATAATTAATTACATAAATAAGACAAACACCAAGAGACTTTATTAACAAAACTTTTAAACACACACTAAACTTAAAATTAACTTCTTAAACAAAATAAAATATTTGAAAAAACAGGAGATTTAAGTTATGAATAAAGCAAAATATATAACCCATATAATACATAAGGCACAAAAATGGTAATTTAAAAAAAGTGTACACAATTTAAAGTATATATGCATTAACAAGTGTATGGTACAAAACAAATTAATAATAATCCATAACATTATTAACACTCAGATGTAGGATAGATTATTTGACAAAAGTTAAAAAAATATCACTTACTTCAAACATTAAGTTTAAAAAACTCTTTCGATTCAAATAAGCTCTAATAACTGTATCTTTCAAACTCATCAAATGTCCTTCAATTAATGATATATGAGTGAAAATGAAGTTATTTAGTTGTCTAAAATCAAAAGAAAATTCCTTACATTTTATTATATATTAATGCACAAAAAAGTACCAAATTAAAAATTACACTAACTTTTTAGTATATTAGATATGATAAAAATAAAATAGTTAAAAAATATTTAATTAATGAGAGATTAATAGGAATGAGAGAATCACAAACTACTAAAGGCTGCTGTATTATTAAATTCTATACAAAAATGCTTTGTAATGCTACAAAGAACAAGTTTTAGTCTATAAATTATAATATAAGAAAGCATTAAAAATCATTCAATTGTGGCATAAAATCACTTTAATACATTATAGACAGTAAATGATTAAACAATCATTCATTTAAGGGAGCTGAAGATTATTTATTTTATTTTTGTCAGTACCATTTAATCCTCGTAATTGCAACTCTAGTTAGTTATTAACTCTTAAGATTTAGAAAATTTTTGGCTTAAAATGTCTCAAACATGTGAGTGACTAACACTTGAATTTTTTGTTGTTGTTATTTTTTAATTAGAGCTTCAGTAATTTTATTAAATTCTGTTTTTTTTAAACAAATTCTATTAAAAAGTCTTGACCAAAATCACAATATTAAACCAAAAGAGTTTTGTGAGTATCCCCACATATCAATGGAGAGACATTTCAGAGGAAATATAGTATGAGCTAGATATAAGGCACTTTAATACAGACATAATAAATATATTCCTTGAATGAAAATTTGAATCATAGCTAAGATCTTCAAACTACTAGACATTAATATTCTAAAAAACATTTTTATTTAATATTAATGCAGTATGAATCACATTTTCTGAATAAATGTGTTATATTAAGCTTGTCTCTTTAAGTCTCAAAACAAAACTGATTTAAACAATGCGAAAAAAAGATAAGTATAAGGTTTTAGTATATGATGATGTAGAAATGGTATTTAGAAATATTTATAATTTTTTTTATTTAAAATAGAAACCTTTTTAATTACCACTTGCGTATTAATATAATACTTGAAAGATGTCAAAACAAAATTTTAAAACAAGTTTTAACATTTAACTGCATGAATCTGATACAAAAGGACTATTTTTAAATTTAACAAATTTACTTATATCTAAATAAATAAAGCGAGGTTTATGTGCAATTAGGCAAAGTTATGATCATAATATTTGTTTATGTAATAAAATTACCTTCCATAAACAGTACAAAAAAGGGGAAAAAATTACAGAATGGAAAAATTTTTAAATCAAATCTAAAATTTAATCATTAAATATTTCTGGATCAAGAGAGCTAACTTTACTTTAGAAATCACAAATAAAACACATTTAGGGAACTTAAATAAATTTCTATCCCAGACCTAGAAAAAGGAGAAAATACTAATTTTATTAAATTAAAAATATTCATTTCTTACTTGTCATCAGGCTTGCTCTCATCACTCAAGTTAATGACAACTGATAATCCAAGCTTAACTCTCTTGTTAACTGTAGTCCTTGAACACTTAAAATAAAAAATATTGAAAGATATTAACTTGCACTGTCAAATCTCAAAGTTTATTGACAATTTTATAGTTTCTAAATATGTGATCTTAATGCAGCAAAAAATATACAGTGATTGTGAATTAATTATAATAAGTGTTAGCAATCAAACCTAAAGGTTATTTTTAAACCCTTTTCAGTTACCTCTTTACCTTAATTTAACATTCAGATAAGTGTTTTGACTAAAATATTGCATGTTAAACATAAAAATATTACAATACATTTAACTGTTAGTGATTCAATATAAGCAGCTGCAGTGATGTAGAAAAGTGGATTAATACACTCTGCATTGGTCATTTTATAAACTTAGGATTTATTTATTAATTTCATTTCATTTTAAATGAAAGATTCTATCCTTGTATATTATAGTCGTAAATCAAATTTCATTTAGAAACATACTAGTCAATTTGAATATTATTTGTAGTTATTTTTAGTTTTATTTTACTAAGTTGAATATTATATTTTAATACAGTAGGGAACCGATTATCCGGAACGATCGGGACCATCGCTATTCCGGATAACTGATTTTTCCGGTTTTCTGAATCGCTACAAAAAGCCGTTTTTTTATTGTTAAACCCAACTAAAAAAAAAATAAAAAATATTTGGAAATAATCTTAAAAAAAGAAAAAACGATGAAGTAATACACTAATGATTATTTCCAAAATGATGGTAAGGTAAACATCTTTCAAAAAAGAAAGAAAAATCCTAAAATCTCATGAGGGAAATTTTTTTTTTTTTTTTTTAAAATCTGGTGGGAAAATTTATCGAATTTCGTTACGGTTTTTTGGTTTTCTGATTTCCGGATAACGGGTTCTGTACTGTATCTTTTAGTAGATTAATCAAACAATATTTGAGAGGTTAAAACCAGATTTTAAAAAGCAAAGTTATGAACCTTTTTTGTTATTGATTGTGATTCTTACAGGTAAAAAAAAGTTTCCTAACATATGTAATGCTAAAAAAGCAATAAATAAATAAATAGTGGGAGATACTTAATGAACAGTGTATTTTTTTCTTTTTAGTGTTATTCTTGATTTTTAATAACAGCTTTTTAAAATTAAAGTATGAATCCTTGTTTTCTTTTATTTTAAACTTTAGAATAAAATCAACAATTACTATCTTAAGTTTTTACTTATAAAAAGGCAGAGCTGAGTTTGGTACAGTATTTAAGAGTTAATTCTGCTTTAGCTGAACCAGTTATTAAATTACTTAAGATTGAACTCAAAGCTTTGTCAAAGAGGATAACTTACTTCATTTGGAGAGATTTCTTCTGATTTGGGCAATCCAAGTTCGATGCTGGTAGCCTTGTTTCTCAATATCCGCCTTTGCAAACTGTTATAACTGCTGGAACGTGGAAGACAACTAACAGGTGTTTCAGGTGAAAGATGAGTGGTAGGAAGACTGCTATGACCATCATGAGATTGTAGAGAGTCTAGTAGGTGGGGAAAAAATAATCAAAGAAAAAGAAATGTTTGTTAACTATTAGAAGTAAAAAGCAGAAAACGAACAAAACGAAAAGGGTATAAAAACAATACTAGGGTAATCCAGAAATATGGAACCCACATTTACCTTAATATTTATCCACCCCTCCTCTAATGAGGTTTGTAATACATGATAAATTAACACAAAATATACTTTTTACTGACTTTAAAATCTATCATCAAATGAACTTCACAGCATAGAATCAACTTATATTTAGAATGAATACACATTTATTCAGTTTGAGATTAATATTTTGCAGAAAATTTTTTTTACATTTTATTCCACTTGCTTTTTTTAAAGTTTTTAACATCAGCAACATAGTTTTATTTGCACTCCCGTCCTTCGCAACCTTCTAAAATTTTGATTGATTATTACTTAAAATATTTTACAGGCAACAGACAAATAAATATTGTCCCACAAGAATAATTTATAATGATTTATAAAATAAAAAACAACACACTCATAAAAATCTTCTGTTAAATATTCTTATGTTAAAGAAGATAATATGAAAAAGAAGATACTCTACAATAACAACGGAATTCAAGTTGAATGCAATATTTCATGTTTACGATTAAAATGAAATAGAATTTGCAACTATGTATAAACAGAAAGAAACCAAAAAAAACTGCTTAAGTATTATCAATTCTAGTTCAGAAAAAATATATTTAAGATAAGTTTAAAATCCAAATATTATGTTCCAAAAATTTTAAAGACATAAGGAAAATATAAATAAAAAAAATATTTACCAGAATCACTGTCTCTTGATTCTACATGTTGACAAGATAAACGACTAGGTACATTGACTGGCACACTATGAGCTAAATAAAAATCAGAGGGAAAAATTATTAAAATCCAGCTTTAAATTAAATTACCATCATTAAAATAATTTTTGGTTAATGTTATAAATTTATAACCATACAAAAAAGAAAGAACAATATCATTCAAGTTATATATAGTTAATCAAGTTTATAGTATAATTTGAAATAGTATAAATACAAATTGAAAAACATTCAGTTTTAGATAAAAGAAAAAAAAAAGATAAATAAACTTACCCAAATGAGTATCAGACTTATCAGTCGATTTGTTAATATTCACCTCAACTGATGTCGTCCAAGTTCCTGACTCTTCTGTTTCAGGTTCCCTATTCATTAGAAAGAAAAATAAATGAAATGGTAAAAAAAAAAATTTAAGAAATGTTTTTCTCTAAACGAAGTAAATTAGAATTTAAAATAGAAAAGGAGATTTTTTGACACATTGTTAGATAGATTTTTACATAAAGTCTTGAAACTGCAATATTTTAAAGAATTTGCGACTAAGTATAACATTTAATCAAAAAAATTTCCCTTTCCTTAATATCTTAAAGAAATTAAATTCTGATAAAATTCACAAAATGTTTAGTATGTCATTCTGATCAATTGGCAATATCATATTGCTTTTGATATATGCATTACATATTCTGTTTCGTGTTTTTTTTTCTTACTCAAGTCATATGATTGGCTGTTAATTGTTTTGAGACAGTCTGTTACAACAATTTTACAATTTTGAACATTAATTTGATTGAGTTTAGAACTATTTGGAGCAATAATGATTTCCCTGCAATCAGAACCGAGGTTTTTTTTCTCAATCCAACATAAATAAATAAAACCTGTCAAAAAAAAGCATCCCATAATATTTAAAAAAAAAATTTCAACAAAATTTTGGGACTATAGTCTGTTCAACGAGAACTGATAGTGGAAGTAAACATAAGGGTTGCTGTTTGATCGCCAACGTTTGCCACTTCAACGGTTTTTTCGCTGAATGGGCGATTTCGTTTGAATCGACAGAGCTTTCGCTTTTATAGAAAAACGAAAACGATATTCAGTTTTTGATACCCTAAAATTACATAAGAAAGTGCAAAATTAAAATATTTACATGAAAATACGTTTCTAATTGTTTAAGTAAACACATAATTTTATTTTGAGAATAGTTTTAATGCATTTTTTTTAAGTTTAAATTAAATTAGTTTTAATATATTTTGCTTAAATATCTATGCAGAACATAACTTTCATAGTTCGAATGTAAAAGTCGTATAGAATTGAAAGAATATGTTAAAAAAAATACTCTTTACTTTCATAATTGCAATTTTTTTTTAAAAATCTATTGAAAGTTAAATAATATTTAAAAAAGTTTTATGTTTCACCGATTGATTTAAAAATATATTTGAAGGAACTGCATTGATTTGTATTTTTAAACTGTTATCTTTATTTTTCTACAGGAAGTATATTTAAAGTGTAATTTTTCTAACAGGGAATAAAATATCGCTCTTTTAAAGTTTGTTAAATTAGAATCATCGTCTTCAGCTTTGAGAACTTTGTTTATTGTCGGAATTTCGTTACGGCGGAAAAAATCATGAACTTTTCTTCTTACAGCATTTTTGTCGAAATCGTCAATGTCATCCAAAAAAATTTTACGAGATTTAGTCCTCTTCGGTGAATCTAATACACTATCTCTTTTATATTCTTTAATGATTCTGAAAACAGAAGCTGTGCTAACTCCCGATGCAGAAACCGCATGATCAGCCACATCAATGATTGAAACATCTGGTTTTGAATGCACTTTTGTTTTATAAATGTTCAATATTATTTCCTTTTCAGCTTTACTTACGTAAGATTTCTTCTGCCGTTTTTTAGGAGGACTTAAATCCATCACTTTATTTTCTATATTGCTCATGAAACATCTGCAAAAATACACCACCTCGAAACTAACAACCCTCTTAGAAATAAGAGTTTTGACTAATAGGCGCTATTTGTCATTAATCCGGCGCCAAGCAGACAACGGTATTGCTCCAAACAGCACGCCGCTTTGTTTACTTTCACTATCAGTTCTCGTTGAACAGACTATAATTTTTAAATAACAATAAAAATATTGATAAAAATTTGAAAATTCTTTAAAAACTGTGCAGACTCGAAAATTATTTAAAGAATTTTTTTTCTGTATCTTATTTGATAAGTTATTGGGGAAAAAAAGAAGAAAAAAAAAAAGATTTGAATAACTTGAAAATGTAAAATTTACTAACGATTTTCCAATTAGCTTTTGTATGTACTTTTTTTTCCTTCAGCTCTAAATGATAAGGGTTTTCCACAAATCTTCCTTTGTATCGTAAAACAAAATTGAATAAATGATAATACCCTACAATGATATCTGGACAACAAATTGTGTATCAATAATTGTGATTGATATATGTTGTAATTATTTATGTAATGTAACTAATCAGAGCAATATAGGACATTTCCAAACCCTATGGAAAAGATCAGAGGAACTCATGTTGTTAACAAAAGACTCTATATTCAGATGGAATGAAACAAGATTCCAGGGCATCAAGACGAGCTGATGTGATAGGGGAAGGGAGAAGAATTTTGGCATTGTTGAAATTGAATTTATGTTTAAAAGTCTAACAATGTGCAGCAATAGATGATAGCATTCTTGATAACTGACATATTTATCACATTTTTTAAGTGTAAAATTAAAAGCAATTCTAGCGTCCAATATAGCTAACATTGCAAGGGCAATGTATATGAGCAGAGATTTTCAATGCAGATAATTTATTTAAATAACTAGAATTTAATTTTGTTAACAGTCCGGAAAATGACTTAAAAACTAAAACAGGATATCAGCAAATTTTATTCATTTATTATAATCAAAGATAAGTAATTAGCAAAAACACTTACGGTGTACGATATGGAGGTAAAGATGGGGCAGGAAACACAAGGCTCAGCATAACTTGGGAAGGTGACCTAAAAAAAAAATCATTATGAATAATCAGAAAAGAATGGAAAAATTTTAACTGCAAAAATTTCAACATTATTTTCAGTTAAGGAAATGTTAACATGAATAAATAGTTCTAGAATAGAATTCTTTCTTTTTAAGTAACAATAACAAAAAAAAAAAAATTCCTTCTTAAATTAATCTTTGAGTATCACAAATTTTACATGATTTGTTGAGTCTCAATTTACAACATGTTGTACAAATCTAGTATTTATATTAATACCACGAACAGCATGATCATTAGACACTTAAAAAAATAAGTTTACTATATGTAAGAGTTAAAAAAAACTTTTTTACAGCCTTTGCAATGGTGCTTATCCCTGATTTGATTAAAAATCTATGGTAGTTAACAAATGAAAGTAAAATAATTTAGAACATATATTAAGAGACTATTTTTTAAAAATAAAACCCCATTTATATTGTTTCAAGGATGATCATTTCTGGTAATAGTTAATAAAATAGTTTTAAAATAAATTAACCAACATTGTTTGCTTTTAAGAATTAAAATTTGAAAGAAAATTACGTCGAATATAAACCTCATAATAGAAGATAATGATGGCAAACAATAAAAATACAATTTAAAATCACAAATTTTCAAATACTTCCCTTTTTTTTTTTTACATCAGATTTGCAAAAGCATTGCCTAATAGAATGTAAGCACAAATTCAAAATATTTGAATATATTAAGCACAAGGGATGATTGTGGTTATGCTGCTCGAACAAAAATATGAAAAAAAAATGATAACATTTAATACAAGACAACAAAATTAAACAATGGTAATAACTAAGTATGACACAAAATCAAAATAGGATGAAGCAACCAAAAGAAAGGGGAACTTGTAAGTACTTGAATCAAACCTCCAAAGAGGAAATGGGGAAAAAATTATTTCTCTATAAATTAATACAGTAGTGTGCTTAAACTCATATACTTGGTACTAGTATAAATGAAACTAGATTTTCTAAGAAAGATATAGAAAAATAAAGATGTACCTGATTGCATGAACTTTCAACAATGTACCATGGTAGGAGATGGACACTGAACCAAAGATCATTTCTCTAAGAAGTGTTTCATCAGAACTTGGTTTTTTGGACTAAAATTTCAAAATAAAAAATTTTTATTAACATGTACAGGAAGAAAAATACATGAAATTGGAATGTAACAATTTTTTATTTATTGGTCATTATACAGGGTGCGTTCTGAAAGTAATGCGCATGATTTTGTTGTGACGCGACTATCGTTCGCAGCGCACTCAGATTGGTCTAAAAATGTGGTGGGGGGTTTGTCCTTCCAAATGAGCCTGGTCTCAGGTTGCTCCGAGCAGTAGGAGAGGTAGGACGTGTCTTTGCGAAAAGTCTTTTTTCGATCGAGTCACAGCGTGATGGAGTGTTCGCTGGAACAGCGGTACGCGATAAAGTTTTGTATGCGGTTTGGAAACAATGCGACGAAACTCATCACATGCTTCAATATGCCTTTAAGGTGAAATGCATTTTGAGATCTCAGTGTGAAAGGTGGCACAAGGCCTTCTAGGAGGATCGGGAGAAGGTCACCGACGAGCCTCGTTCTGGACGCCCAACAACAGCCCGAACCGATGAAAACGTCCAGCGTGTGCATGAAGTTTTGAAGTCAGACCGTCGGTTAAGCATTCAGGCAATCGCTAACACTTTGAACTTGTCAAAATGTGCGGTACATGGGATTGTGACGAAGGATATGCGAAAGGTCTGTGCGAAGCTTGTGCCGAAGGTGTTGACGGAGGAGCAAAAACCTGACCCAAAGTAAGGCCCCCTTGGTGCCCCAGCCTCCCTACAGCCCTGACATGGTGCCATGTGACTTTTTTGTTCCCCCAACTGAAAAAAGAGCTAAAGGGAAAGCACTGGGAGTCTGTGGAGAACATCCAAGCTCATGTTACAAGGTCCCTGAGAGGCATTCTTGACGAGGAGTCCAGGTGGACCAGAATCGTCTCCGCAAGTGTATTGATGCACAAGGGAACTATTTTGACGAATTTCAACTATTTGTACCCATAGGATCAATAAATCTATTTTCCCCAGAAAATGCGCATTACTTTCAGAATGCACCCTGTATGGTATCATGCAGCAATGCAAACAGGATTTTTCTAAGGTCAGCAATTGAGTAATATTACTTATATAAAATACAATGGGAAAAGTACGAGCTTATACAGTCCTTGAGAAAGATTTATTGAAGACGAAATGGATTAACAATAAAAGTAGGAAATATTTATTTATTTCTCAAATTCAGCTATTCTGCCAAAAGTTAAGCCACTTGAAAAAAAGCATCACAGCATGACTAAAAGATCTCATATACGGGGTGGTCATAAAAAAAAATTAAAAAAAACTACTCTGTATGGATTTCAAGCAGGTTATCCAAGACTAAGATTGTTGATATGCAATTATGATTGATATACAACTGTGCTCTCACGAGCCTGTGTTTACAGATAGCAAATTTTGAAATTTTCTAATAGCAACATTTATTTTTTCATCAAAGTTTCTTTGAAGATATTTTTAGCAAGGAAAGCGGCGACACTAAATAAACAGAGCAAAAAGCAGCATAAAAATCACTGTACTTTCTTCTTCCTTCTCATTGTTGCCCGAGTACATTCAGCAAACATGAATCACTAACAAATTGAAAACATAAAATACTGATTTCTTCATCCCTGTCTAGCTTCTCCATTTTCCAACGCTGTTCCAACTCCAATTTGGAATTTTATGCAGAGGATTACATTTTCAATAAAAAAAAAGATGGATGTAGATATTTTTGAGACCACTATTATTGTGAACAATCTAAAAAAAATAAGGTGCACACTAAAAAGGTAATGAGTAACTTACTTCATAAACATATTCCTTGCTATGGTCTTCATTCAATCTAAAAGATTTTTCAATGCTACTTTCCTGCCTCTGTCTGGCCTGAATGTTGAGGGGTGGCTTTCCATTTGGGGATGCTGTCGGATCTCTCTTGCGTACAGCCTTGGAATCAAATAGTAGTCTCCTCTCTTGTCCATTATGTTCTCGAAAAAGCAACACTCGAACTTGTTTTGTACTGTCAAAATCTGGTGGCTTGACTCTGTAGAATACAGAGAGAAAACACAATTTGTAATTTATATAGTAAAAGCATTTCTATCCGTAGAAATACATTAAAATATAGAATAAAACAATTAAGAACTGTAGAATAAAGAACTACAGAATAAAAAAGTTCAATTTTTATACAGTAACACTTAAAATCAAAAATAAGACATTGATATCAGCGTTTTTTTTTTATAAAAAAAAAATAGTAATAATAAAAATGAAAGCAGTAACTTTTAAATTTTTAAGCCAAGCTGTTAATAATAACTCCTTTTTTTTTAATGCTTTCCAGAATCACTACAATTTTTCTAAAAATATAAATTAATTCCCAAACTGGAAATTACGTTTTTAAAATATACAAATAAAAACACTACAAATATATTAAAAAAGGAATAATTTCAGACATTTTTTTTTACAAAGATTTAGAAACTTATACTTTTACCTATTTATAAATAAATAAAATCTTTTAATGAAATTAGGTCAAAATTGTAAAGAAAAACAAATACATGAGCCACACTTTCAAATTGCTCAAGAAAATATTTTTAGTGAAAAACACAATGCATTTCATGTATCAAATAAGATGTGTCTGTACATTGTGCAGCTATCTAAAAGGAATTCCAAAAGTTGTAAAGTACACATTAGTAAACAATACTAAAAAATACAAAGTTCATTTGTTAAGTTTAAAAAATTTGATGTAAAGTGAAATGTTCGAAACATTTTATGATCTATGTCACTTAAATTTTATTGAATGAAATAAATGTGCAATGCACTCCTGTATTGTCCTAAGCCCTTTCAATTTTCCTTCCAGTGAACAATGCGGAGAGATGGAACTGACTTAATTACACGAAAGCAGCTCTTAAAAGTTTAGTTTATGGTTTGGACCATTTTTTACAGGGTAAAAATCCATCATAAAATTTAAATTAAAAAAGTAATTAATTATAAAATTTTTTTAACATTAATACAAAGAGCATAAACTATAATTGGCAGCTAAATTTGCTTATAAATAATAACATAACTTCATTTTTAGTGTTATGATTTGGTTTATATGATTAAATATCAAATTTATTTTTAACTGTAGAAATTTTTAAATCTAAAAATAATTTTCTCTATGTATTAAATACTATATTTGCCATTTTGCTAATACTACTATTACATTTTACTAATACTATCTTGCCATTTTGTAAACCTAACCAAGTTAAGACATTTAACTTCAGTATGTTCATGAAATTCTTAAAAAAAAATAATCGTGAATCTTAAATAATATATATATTTGCAGTGTTGAAATTAAAATTAAAATTCGCTAATTCAAATTCAAAATAATCTAATCTAAAAGTTACTGCAAAGCAGAGAAATACAATATTTAAGCTAAATTAAGTATTGTCTGTCTTTTTTTTTTTTTTTTTATGTATATTACAGAATAAAAAGTTTAAAAACATTTCCAGAAAATTAGGGCTTTTTTATGTGTTGTAAGTAAACCAACTTTAAAACTTTTACACCAAAAACTATTTAAACGAATCTAGAGTAATTACAGAAAATGCAAATGGTACTAGATTTACCGAAGTTTTCTAAAAATTGTATCATTATGAGTAATTTCAGCAAAGGAACATTTAAGTTGAATGGAACACATTTAAATCCACTCTGTAGAAAAAAAAGAAAGAAAAAAAACTTGTTTTGCTCAATTTTAGCAGCAATGTTATTTTGTAAATAAATTGTTTAACTATATTTTTATTAAGTCCTTTTTATTTCCTAATAATTCATTCAATCTAACATCTTTTTTTTTTTTGATTGAAAAGAAAAACAAAACTTACAAACATGCTTTTCTTTATAATAAACATCCCCATGATTTAATCAAAGAACGTCTTGTAAATCACTGTCCTTGAAATAAAGTTCAAAAACACCGCAACCGGAAATTAACAATTTACTATAACAACTGACAGACAAGAAAAGCATTCCATTAACTCCAAAAAAAGAGTTAACTCCGTTGCATGCAAGTAACATTCTAACGTATTTTTCCAATTCTTCGTCCGTGAAACTTGGCGGGGAAAACGTGGATGAACAAACAGGGAAGTATAACTTGCTATCAACGTGATTAAATCATGCAATTTTCATAGTGGGGCAGGAAAGTGTAAACAAATAAACTAGCAGACATTACGATATTTAACGAGATGCGAAAAACGTCTACATTTTTTAATAGAAATATAACTTTTTTTTAATTTTGAAAAACTATTTAAATATTAAGCGGCAATTTGACTAAGTAAGTTAAAATTCTCATTTACAATGGAATATTAAAATTTGCAGTAAATTACTTTTTAAACAAATATATTAACGGACACTTCAAAACTACTAAAATGAAATAAATCAATTACAAGAAGAAAAATTAAGTAATAGTGTAAAAGTTTTTTTAAAAAATTGATAACGTGTTTAAAAACTAATTCCAACTGCACAAATACTATTCGATTAATTAAATTCAAATATTTATTTACAATGTAACATTAAATGATTAACTTTTGTTGTTTAGAAAAAAGAAAAAGAAATTTAACCAAAACGTCATAACTGCTAAACAATAAAAAGCTCGTTTAGAAAACGATGTCAGCCATCTTTTCATGTTTAAGTATATGTTAAGTAAAGTTAAAAATTGATAATCTTACCAAACTTAGTTTATTATCATGAAAAAAAATTTGCTTTCAATTATTATTATTAATTTTTTCTTTTTTAAAAAAAAAAAGGCCTGGCAAGAGACTTGCGACGGAAATTCAAAATCCATAATTTTTGCGCATGTTTCAAAGTCAATATTTAGTATTCAAATTTAATATAAGTATTCAAATTTAAATAAGTCCGATAACCACGTGAGGGGTTTCTTTACATTTTTTAGCAAATTCAAATTTAAAGCTATAGGAACTGAGAAGTTAAACATCAAAAGCTTAATATTAAAACAATCAGTAATTAATCCAATGATACTAAGCAATAAACAACTCGGCTATATATCAAGTTTTTCGCCTTGGATGAACGTATTATTTAACAGTCTTGATAACACATAGTCAAAACAAAAAACCGCCAACTTTTAGCACACACTAAGTCAAACAATTCATACTTAATTGCTAATTGAAAAATAGATAGAAAGTATAAGATTTTAAAAAATTGAAATTGTTAAGTATTTTTCAAAGTTTAGTTAAAAAGTACAGGTGATAAGAAATCTTAAAATAATAATAAAGAACGCAAATATATATACATCAAATACCCATATAAAAATTTGAAATCCTCAACTTTAATTGATATCATTATTGCTCATAAAATTGCGCCTTCTTGACTACTTGTTAACTATAAAACTTTTTCCTCCGAACTGCATTAAAAGTGGACATTTTACCGAAAAATGGATTTAAAAAAAAAAAGAACATTAATTAATCATAATTTAAAAAGCAAGTTGTGGCAAAAATGGTTCCCAAATGCTACAATTAAAATAAATATATTCTTTATTAATATGATATAAAATTTTCTCAATCAAATTTTTTACAATTAGAAAGCGATTTGCAATTTCCAGATGCTGATAAATACCGTAGCGAGTTTCAAGTAGTGTTAAAAATTTCGAAATAACCGAATATTACACCTAGAGAAATTATCGCTGAATTAATAGGTAAAGTTGATTCGATTTCAATAACGAATTTTGAGTGCCATTCGTTAGAGAGCGCTAGAGTTCTACAGTAACTTGCGACGCACCTACTATAGAATGGTTCAATAAATCACAACATGCTTTCTCAAAAGCATTAAAATACAGTTTGACCAGGATAACGTATTGCTGACTGTAAGGTAATAAGTTCGTTCCGACGAACGAGTTAAAACGAACTAGTGCCTTCTCTCTACCAGATCGAGAAATTACTATATATTATAAATAGAAAATTATATATAGAAAATACTATATATTATATATAGAAAATTATAGTATATGCTCTCCTTGAGCATATACTATAATTTTCTAAGACAGATGAGTTAGCAAGTCACAATTTAAATTATGGTATTTAAAAGCTCATTATTAGACCGGCTCCTGCAAAGACTGAGTTCTTAAAAGTACTACTCCAACAATTTCAGCACCTAATCGCAGAGCTAGCTCATTAACTCCTTTGATTTCTATTTCATTATAATTTTATCATAAAAACTTTTTCTTACTTGAAATTTTGAATAAAGATTTGAAAAATTCTGTATTAGAGAAAATTCTTCATCGCTGTACGTATATCAAATAAACCGTGAGTTGCATATTTACGACGTCATAAACATATTATATCGAACTCAATTAGCATGAAAACTATGGAAACAGTTCTTATACATTTTGAAGCAAAGGTGCGATCCGTATTTATTTATAATTTATCTACTTATTTATTTATAAAAACTTGAAATGTATGCAGTCTTTACCAGTGGCGTACGCAAGGGAGGGGTTTAGGGGTTTGAACACCCCCCTTGAGCTCAGACAAAATGGCAAAAATAAACATTTTAGTAGAAATTATGCGGGTATTATTTTTTAAGACTATATATTTTTATTTGCCTTATGCCTACCTTTTTATCTCACGGTATTTCTCAGAATACTGAAAAAAACATTTACTATAATAGGGTTGTACTTTTGAAACCAAATTCACGTGATACTGTTCTGCCAGTCGCGATAGTTTTCGAGACTGGCTGTCATTCGCGGGGTCTTTACGCGATGATTCTGGAATCTTAGACGTTCTGTCGTCTTTGAGACAATTCGAGAATTTTGGAGATGCGGTGAAAAATTATACAAAAGGGGGAACGGAGTACAATGTAAGTTTTTCTGTTGTACAGAAATGTAATACTTCCGTTGAAGAAAACGTTTCTAGCATAACAAAATCTGATGAATGTGAAAGTGGCCCTCAAAATGTTACTTCCCACACATATGACATTGGACTTTTTTCAGAAGATATTACATGCGAGAAGATATTTAACTATGTTCTTAAACTTAAAAAATCAAATCAAAATTTAACTAAACAATGCTGT